TGGATCACCATTTAGACAGATTTAGAAATGCTTGAGTTAGGAGATAATGTTTTCAACTTTACGGGTGTATTGTAAGCTCAATAATAAAACTTCCAGGACCGCCTCCGTGGTCTGGTGGTAGAGCGCCCGCGCGGAGAGCGGAAGGTCTGGCATTCGATCCCCGGGTGTGTCATACCAAAAGATGTTAAAAGATGGTGCTTGTTGTTACCCTGTTTGGCTCAAAATTGAAAGACAGTACAATTTCAATGGCAATATAAAATACAATGCATTAAAGACAGAGATAATAATAACCACCTAGCAGCAACAGTGGTCAAGCTTCCAAAATAGAACTAGGTTGGATATCCAGTTTGTTACTTAAACCATATCGAAAATGAATATCACTTTTTGTTAATTTGTCCACCTTATAGCCATTTTAGGCAAAGTTAAACAATCTAAATGGTACATCTTTCCAAATATTCTGAAGTTTAATACGCCAATGCCGAGCACCAGCAGCAGGGTATCATGAATACACAATGCCTTTTAGAAAGTGGTCAAATGTAACAACTACTATATTTGGGATGATACTTTCTTGGAAAAGTACAAATTCTTGTACTTTTATGGATTGAGTCCCATCCGGGATTCGAACTCACACTCTCAGAGTGAGGCACCTTATTGCCAGCACACAAAGTCAGCGATCTAACTAACTCAGTCATCGAGGCTTCCACAAAATGGAAGTCCGACAACTGGTAGTCTAGATCACGTACATTGTGTACCCCTCTGACAAGTGTAAATTGGCACGACTCGATTGACATGTTACATAACCTTGACAGGTCGTCTCATGGTGTTAAGTTGCCCTTTTTTTTATCGTTACCATTGTTTTAATGTTCCCGGTTATGCATTGTAACTTGCATCAAGTGTACATCAATTATATATTTCATTTTTCTGCCATTTCGCTTTTTAGCATCAACCTTTTTGCTTGAAATCACAATGGCCGCCTGTGGTTCTGAGATCGCCAGACGTGAAGTTTGAACATGTTCCCCTGCAATCCAGCCGCTTTGTTTTCTCACCCCTAAGGAGATCTTCTTCGTCGGAAGTAACCCCAACAAATAAGGGGTGGTGGGGTAAGCAAGTGGTTAAAGCGTACGCTCGCCACGTCGAAGGCCCGGGTTCCATTCCCCAATGGGTACGATGTGTGAGGCCAACTTCCGGTGTCCCCCGCTGTGATCCTGCTGGAACATTGCTAAAAGCTGCGTAAAGCCATACTCAATCAATCAAACCAACAAATGATGTCAAGGAACAAAGTTTGCAGGTTTAGACCCGGTTCTCTGATTCAAGTCAGGTGGGGAATACCCTGGCCAGAGAGACTAACCCTTGGCGTAAGCCTGGCCTAATCAAATTGATAGTAAACACTGGTTTTATGCACTGCTCCAGCAGGGCATTGATTGATTAATGTCATATTGGCGGAACTAATATCCATATTTCATCGATTTCTTCTCATTATCTGTTTCTTGCATACAATGACATGTTGGGGACGTTTAGTTATGAAGCCGGATCTTGGAGCAATAGTTATAGCGTTTGACTACAGAGGTAACGAACCTCTCAGGATATTCTGGTACATTTCTTTCTACAGGTATAGCAGGACTTGTTAACCCTTTCGCGAACACTTGGTGTCCTTTACGCCCAATGGAATATTATTCGACAGAAAATCGAGACTGATTATTCTCTCGCCTTGAGTTTTTACATATATTGATTTTCTTTCAAAACATAATGAGCGGTTATCAAAGCCCGTCGAAGTGTCCATATCGTCCTACCGGTCCAGGGGACCTCAATATACCGCGACATGATACATTTGATATTCTGATCCAAAACTGAATACATGAACGGAAGAGCAGAAATTTCACACAGAATGCAGTTCTATCTTGTACACACACACACACACACACACACACACACACACACACACACACACACACACACACACACACACACACACACACACACACACACACACACACACACACACACACACACACACACACACACACACTCCATGATTTATTATTATTTAAATCTACTAGGTTTGTCTAGCGTGTTAATGCGTCTGAAATTGCTGTGCAGAGTTTCGGCCCTTAGTCGAGCCAGGCTCCGTTGCTTGCGGGTCCCTTCAAGGCACGCAGTGCTGTAATGGGGCATAAAGCGACGTTACACCCACTTTCGCTTTCACTCACTAGTATAATCATTTCATCTTTATCTTCATGTCTTAAAGACCTTGCATAATCCACCTTACCTCTTTGAGAGTATTGTAGTATTACACTGTTGTTTGAAACACTCCATTACATTATTGGATTTGATAACGGCAACTTCTTTCTTCAGAATTACCATACCGCAGTCTTAAACATGGAGTAATGTACCACGATTCGGACATACTGTGTTTAAATTACAGAAACCTCACATGGGTGTTTTTATGTCGGTGCAGACTGGAGTTAAAGCGTTCGCTCGTCACGCCTTCTACCCTCTTGGGTACAATGTACAATGGCCATTCTTGACGTTCCCTGACAATGACACACGGATCCAAACTCGAATTGAAATATCTCTGAAAAGACTTACACTATCCAAATGTTCAAAATTAGTCATGACTGTTCACCAGATGGGAATTCACTAGCTTCTATAGGTGTTGACTACCCTTTTCCTTGAAGACGATTGTCAGACAGTTCTCCTTTTCCACGAAAACATTCAGTGACACTAAACGGTGAAAACATTGTGTGTAGAACTATACTAATGCACAATGCTATACAACGTATTTACAACGGTAAACGGAATTTGTTATGCTAATGATAGTTCAAGGTCCCTGGTTTAATGCCGCAAGGGAGTGACGGCAAAAGCTTCCTTTAATGAACATTTACCTTATTTCAACACAAATGGCGTGATTTGGGCGGGCATTGCTGCGACAAAATATATCCGGCTTGGAAGAAATAGGGAAGAAACATTAGGTACACACATGGGTACAAGAGAAACAGTAGGGAATGTTGCTTGTTGATTCTTTGTGCTTTGAACGGCATTTCAGGGTATCCTCCCATTAGTTAGACGTCCCATTTGTAACACACCTGAAACAACATACGTCATGGCTGAAGGCACTGACTGGTCTACCCTATATTACATAAGTATTAGACTCGAGTGATCCAAGAAAAGTAGAAAAGTAATCTCGTACTTTATGTACTTATACAAAGATATAATATATAATAAATAATAAATATAATTTTTTTCCATATTAGCACTGGTAGTAGCACTGATTAATTAATTGAATTGAATGTCTCTGAATATTCCTTGTTTACCCCAACCTTGCATAGAAGCCTGCAGCATCCAGGAATTTGCTTGAGTTCCTGGCGAAGGTGATCTTTCAATGGAGACTCTCCTGGACGAGTGTCTTTAGCTTGCTGAAGAGTCTCTGGTATGTTAATTCAGATATATTATGTCTGAGGATATCGGCCTATTGCAGATCGTTGACATGTAGCACTTTTCACCTATTGTATTTGACTATTTACAAAAGATCGAGATCGCTAAAACAAAAGAACGACTGCCTCTTTAAAATCCAGAGTTAGCGGACGAAATTACTGATATTATTTACAGCCTTATACTCCATATAAAATGAAATGACGAGACGCTAGACCCCATGGTTGTGCATGCAGCTTGTAGTTGGTTGTAACAGACTGTGTTTATTGGTGATATTAAGGAGTTATACAGTTTTGACGTATCGTTGGTGGTCTTGGGGGAATAAAAATATAAAGAAATCTACATAAGTCCATTTGTGACGCATAGTGACATCAGCTCGTTCAACTCGCATATGTCATTTATCACTTTCCTTAACTGTAAACTTTTCTGTCCTATTTTCTAATTTCTCCTTTTTGACAGGGACTTCACTTTTCATTTGCGTTTGAGACAATAAAACGTAACTATGATACCCGTCTCAAATACATCAACATCGAATACCCATTTCTTGCTTGTTTAAATTCTTTTTAGCCACCATCACTCATGGTCATCTTACCTCCATGTCAGGATAATGAGATCTGATTGGTTCACGTGATCGTGATAAAATACTATTTATCCCGCCCAGGAAGGAAAGACATATCTGAGCGGAAGAATAAGTTCCTTATACCCCGCCACGAAGAACGCAGGCTGCACGCACGCACGCACGTCCGCACGCACACACACACACACACACACACACACACACACACAGGTGCGTGAGTGAATGTTGTTTAACGCTGTAACAGCGATGTTCCAGCTATATCACGGCAGTCCCCAAAATGGTATCACCCTGCTCCCATTCGTGACCAACTCGTGTTATTCCGGGACAAGCCATTTTTGCGACCGGGTTCCGTCTTAGCGCAAACGGGCATACCTAAAACAACTGTCAAGTCATTGCGTAATGGTTAACATGTATTTCCCCATATATTATATATATTTCAGATGCAATTTAAAGCACATCGGGACATGCGGAATTATACAGTATGATTGAACACATGTAACTGTGTCTTGTGTATATTTGTAGATGCAAGACATATGTAAAATCAAAAATTATTTCTGAGGGATTCTTTGACGAAGAATTTGAAACCATGCGCGCATTCTGATTGGTTTGTGGTATTTTTGCACATAACATTCATCGACAGGGGGGATGAGTCTTCTTGCAGGTTACGGAAAGAGGCGAGTGGTGACGAATGATTTGCTCCATGAGCAACGACCTTTGCCGTGGGGACACGCTGATGCACAATCAGCGAGGTCACACATTGTAACCATCCGATCCGAATTAGTCAGCTCACGTGACAAGCAAGGGGGTCCGGGAATATCCTGAGATGCACTGTGCACACCATTTACAAAAATACACATATAAAATACACCAATTAAACATGCGCCCAGTGCGTTGTAACGTAAATATAACGTAATCACAGATATAGGTCTACACCCGAGGCCATGAAATTGAGAAGTCTGCTAGCATAACGCCCAAATAAATATGATATCAAAGATAGGTTTAAAATTCTTTATTTTTCAATGAGCAACACTCCGAACATTCTGTTTTTATGATGAACTTAACTATTGTAATATTGCCATGAAACATATATGTACATGTATATCATATTTTTCTGTCTGTCTCGCTCTCCTATTCCTACTCAAATAAGCAGTAGTTACATATGCGTATTACAGTGAGTGAGTATGGTTTAACGCCGCAAATATTCCAGCAAAATCACGGCGGGTGACACCAGAAATGGGCTTCAAACATTGTCCCTATGTCGGGGATCGAACCCGGGTCTTCGGCGTGACGAGCGAACGCTTTAAGGTATCTTCCCAAAACGAAGACCTACCAAAACGCTGACCCGTTTAAACAACACTCGTTATGGCTGGCTGCATCAGTAATTAGCACCCTGTACCCTTGATTAAGTAAAATGGTATCACCCATGTAACAAGCTTAAGAAAGAAAGCTGGGTAGATTTCACAATTTTTTATTATTCCGTCCGTCCGTCCGTCCGTCCGTCCGTCCGAAAACTTTGTCCGCGCGATTTCTCTTAAACTATTCAGTGGATTCATCTCAAACTTAGTACATATAATCTGTGTCATATGGAGGGGTGCAGTCAATAGGAAAAAAATGATTTTAATAATTTTCCATTGTTATAATGAATTTTTCAAACCCTAACCAGGGTTTCCCCTGATGCAGAATTCTTGCGTATATGACTCAATTAAGGAAAAATACGTCCAGAATGAAATGACTACATCATGACATATGTCAAAACATCTATGTGGTTGTTTGCCAGCTTTGGAATGAAAATATTACAACTACTCACCTGAACTTAATCTATAAACATTTTTCTAAGACAATATATGCAAACGTCTTAAAATTTACGTCTAGTTTTTAATTAATCGTCTTTTTTAGAAGTAACATAACTTCGCATAACACCACTGTGAGGTACACGACAAAATATATTTATTCATCAAGGTGAACGTAACTCTCACACTCCGTGTGGCTTCGATGACAGCACGTGATGTAAACAAAGGAAAACTACGTAAATGGACAAGGTTTTTCACGTTTCAGCATATTTTCTCACTAAAAGTTAACCATGACATATGTTTATCTACATGTGTAGACTCGTAAAAAATGAAACGCTTTAACCACTAGGCTACCCGACTGCTCATATGTATAAGACAACCGTATTAACAGTTATACCAGTAAAGAACAATCGTTGTCTACAAAGAGTAAATATATTTGGCTTCTTTCTCTATGGCGTTTAGTTTGAATGAGAATACAGCCATCCACTTCACCCACTCCCGGCCCTGAGTCATCCAATTATTTTGTCCACCGTCAGGACAATCCCCCCTATCAGGAGCAACACCGCCCCGACAACTGTGAGAGCAAACGACCAGCCTAGATTTGTGTGTTCCTGCTTGTCTGCATAAAGGATCGCCCCAGCAAGGATGAAAATTGCTAAAAATAGAATGAATTATGCATTAAAACATTTGCTCTGAATATACAACTGAAACTGTATTACATACAAGTTTTCTTGTTTGTTTGTTGTTTAATGCCGCAAAGAGCAATATTCCAGCTATATGGCAGCGGTCTGTAAATAATCGAGTCTGGACAAGACAATCCAGGGATTGACATCATGAAATCGATCACATATAAGTTTGTTTGTTTGATGTTAAACGCCGTACTCAGCAATATTCCAGCTATATGATGGCGGTCTGTAAAGAATCGAGTCTGGACCAGACAATCCAGTGATTGACATCATAACCATCGATTCACGCAATTGGGATACGATGACGCCCATCAACCAAGTCAGCGAGCCTGACCACCCGATCCCGTTAGTCGCCTCTTACGAGAAGCAACGTCGCCTCTTACGGCAAGCATGGGTTCCCGAAGACCTATTCTACCCCGGATCTTCACGGGTCCACATTCAAGTAAGTGAAACAAATACAAAGTTAACTTTACTAGAAACAACACTACGTATTATAACTGTGTTACACTAACTGCAAATGCATGTCGGTCACAGAAATGACTGGAATGAGTGTTGATTTTACATAATTATTATGTATATTAGACATTGTATACTCCTGATGTTGTTTGCCTTCATTTAATTTGTCACATACCCAGACACATTATTTCGACATTTCGCCTAAGTGTATGATGAAAACCTACCTGAGAGGAAGGCCAGCACCAGTGCACAGATCTGTAACAACTTCAAGTCGTTCTTCACCAGCACGTAGATGCACAACACAACCACGCAAGCCAGTCCCAGCAGAAACCCAATTATGGACAAGGCTCTCACTGCGTCGTACCAGTCAGCTGAAAAATATATAACTGCAGCTAATGTCGTTTCAAAATATAAGGCTACTTTATATGTATGTACGACAGCTGGTCCAAAAGTGTTTCGCCGCTTTCAGCAATATTCAGCGGGGGACGCTAGAAATGGGCTTCACACATTGTACCCATGTCGGGAATCGACCCCGGGACTTCAGCGTGACGAGCGACCACTTTAACCACTAGGCTACCCGACCGCCCCTTCCAGTCAGGAAAAAGTTTTCTGAAGCCACCCTGAAAAACCCATTCACGGCCGTTTTGAGGTCATCGTTGTCGTCCCCGAAGGTGTTCTTTCAGTTTAGAAAAACAGGTGGAAATCACCTGGTGCCAGGTGTATCGAGTATTGAGGGTGAGGAAGCTCTTGTCGCACAGCAGCCTTTACAAGTCGAGATGTGTGAGTAGAGGCATTGTCACGAATTAGTAGAACTCCAACAGACAGCATTCCTGGCCGCTTTTCTTTGATAGAGTCTCTCAGGCGATGAAGCGAATCAGCATAGTAGGCACCGGTCATGAATTTCTTAGGGAGTACTTTTCCATGAAGTAAAAAACTGCTCGGTACTCGTTCTTTTCCATTCCTGTTTCCATTTGGACCACAATCACGTTCAACTGGCTATCACTAATATACAAACGGCCTCAACATATAAAATACACTTGCAATGAACTACTACTTTGTACTTTGTTATGGCCCATAGTTGAAAGTTAGTCTGGCTTAGAATTTTTTGACCAGCCGCTGTGTGTGTGCGTGCGTGCGTGAGTGCGTGCGTGCGTGCGTGCAGCCTGTGTTCTTCGTGGCGGGGTATAAGGGACTTATTCTCACGCTCAGAAATGTGTTTCCCTCCCAGGCGGGATAAATAATATTTGATCAAGATCATGTGAACCAATCAAATCTCAACATCCTTACATTGAGGTAAGATAACCATGTTTGATTGCGGCTAAAATGAATTCAAACAAGCAAGAAATAGGTATTCGATGTTGATGTATTTGAGACGGGTATCATAGTTACGTTTTATTGTCTCAAACGCAAATGAAAAGTGAAGTCCCTGTCAAAAAAGTGAAATTAGAAAATAGGACAGAAAAGTTTACAGTTAAGGAAAGTGATAAATGACAGATGCGAGTTGAACGAGCTGATGTCACTATGCGTCACAAATTGACTTATGTAGATTTCTTTATATTTGTATTCCCCCAAGACCACCAACGATACGTCAAAACTGTATAACTCCTTAATATCACCAATACACACAGTCTGTCAAGTTCGGTTTTGGATCACAAGTTTTCAGTGTTTCTTTGACTCTTTTCAGCCGAGTTACGTTGTGATAACGTTTGTAATAGCTATCTCTTGCTTGTTTCATTTTTAGCCACCATCAAACATTGATGTATATTACTTTCTTTTGCAGTTAACTTATAGTAATAAAAAACCTAAAACAATGTAGCCGGTGTATATATATGTATTTGAGTTTTTTTTGCAAATTAACCTATTTCAAGTTTTTGTTTTGTTTTTGTTGAATATAATTTAACAGAGGTTTGTTTTTATCCCATCACTCTATGTCCGGCCCTCTAGTGACCAATCACATCCCAAGCTATCCCTGTGATTGGCCAAATTCAAACTCTACCTTCTTGCTCTGACTAACTCCATATTGTCACTTTCACTATGCGCTGCATTGGGAGTATTTGTAGATCACCACTAACGGTTAGTTTCTAAGACTTATCTTTACTCCTAAATAGGATTAAATAGTAATCAAAGATAATGCATTATAAATAAGCATCTAAGAAGTACTTATCATATTTACCTTAAATTATATATTTTTATTAAGTTGATGTTTTGAATGAATGCGTTTTAGAGGCTGAACTTTAACCTAAGCTATAGTGTATTTAATATTATCTTGTATACATACTAAGTTATATCTACAATTATGGCAGTGCACAAGCTATTCATTTTGTTATTTATTTCATTGTATTAAGTCACTCTAAGTATTTACATATCATGTACATATAATGCGTAAGTAATTATTCCTGCTGTTTCTTCTGCAGGACATACCATAGACGGTGACATTTGAAGGGTATTACGTTTCACACCCTTGTGCCACACATAGGGTATGCATTTACACATGTAGGTGAAACCATTTTACTTAATATGTATTGTAAGACATTTCTATCATATCATCTGATAATACTTAGTTACTTAGTTATACTGTCCCCCGCCGTGATATTGCTGGAATATTGCTAAAAGCGGCGTAAAACCGTACTCACTCACTAGTTGTAAGTAAAAATAGAAATGATCGTATTGCTTTGATGATTACATGATATATATTATGTTTTATTATGCATATACTATATTATATGTTGTTTCTTATAACATGGTGTCTATCGTGATTATTCACAAATAAACATAAGCCTCACACCATGTAGCCGTCTTGGTGTCATCTGCATAAAATAAAGGATAGGGCCATGGAAAACCCGGTTACAACAATACGATAATCAGAGAAATATTAGAAATGAAAGTTGAAATAACACTGGTTTGAAGTAGAGGAATACAAATGTGTATGAAACAGTACACGCCGTGCTCTAACTCAAGCACTGTCCACAGCGGCGTTAAGCCATATCCATTCACTCACTCACTAAAAACGCAACTTACGGATGACGCCAGTTATTTGTGCACACTGCGATGAACTGGATGAATAAACACATATCTGGAACAATCCATTTGAATATGTTACTGAATTTAAAGTTAATGTCGTCCAACCCGGTGATGGGAAGCCAATGAGGTCAAAAATCAGGCCAGCCACACAAAGTCCAAGTCCGATCTTGGACAAGAGAGATGCTTGAGAGAACCCCATCTCATGTGCTGAAGAACCCTGAAAACCGGGCGAGATCGCTTATGTACTTGGCCTCGTATGTCGTGGACTGTATACCCCGTTGGTTTCCAAGGCCCCCCTTCAATAACAATGTTCTGATTGGCTGACAAACAGATACACCTCCAAATATGGTCAAGCACATTAAACAGTTCTCGGAAGTTTGCGGGCCCCTGAGGATTCACACGTACCTGTCTGGAAATATGACTTAGGTCTTCAGTGTGGTGAGCCCCTGAGTTAATCACTTGCTTATCGAACGTACCTTACCCCCTTCCCAACGTCCTTCAACTTTAACTCCCCATCGAGTCTCCACCCGTGTCTATTCTAAAGGCTAACAATGAATCTTAGTCATGGAATATTCCGGGAAAGCCAACGTTGGCCTTCCAGCTACAGTAGTGGTAGTTTCAAGTAAATCAATGAAGCCAGTTCTAGGAAATATGCTTTTGCCTTTGTAAATAACACCTGGCCCGCTATCAGTCATCCTTAGCTTTATTCAGCATGGGTACAGACCACTGACCCATACAGAGCTGCAGTGCAGACAACATGCATTATTTGAGTCTCATTGACACTATTGTTTAATAATTGTACTGCATGAAAACAAACATGGTCAAATGTCTAACAATTTTAATGTCATCAACAGACATTAGTATAATATTTATGTAATATAGGGTGTACTTTTAAAAATATATTTCAACAACTACCTTACATCCGTAAGTTGCATAAGCCTCACAGACAAGCAGCCCATGATACTCTTCCTACATATCATTAGTTACTTGATTTTAAAACTCTTTCTTTTTCTTGTTTTTTTTCTAACGAACCTTTGAACTCTAATATGCTTTAGATAAGGCTGCACATAAAAGGAATGGTAAATAGGACAGTGTTTAGAACCACCTGTTAATGGGGCATGCCAGTCTTGACATATGTACTTATAGTACCGTCTTGCTGGCGGAAAGAAGCGGTAACTTGACAAAGAGATTGAAATGTATAATGTTTATTTATGAGTGTACAGCATGGTCCATGTTTTTGTGTCTGCGCTAAACATATGTGAACATTAAATTGTAACTGAAACACTTCATCTCTCTATAGCGAACATGATGGTCAAGCAGGTTTTAGTGATTATCAGTATATTAAGAATGGCGCATGTGTGTACGTCATCAGTGTTATTGGTCTAATAACAATTATACGCTTATAAGTAAAAGGTATCAGTGACAAAATATCCGTGTTGCTTGTATTGTAATTCAGTGATATTGTTTATTCAGCTTAACCATAGAATGAGTGAACTAACAGAGGGGAGGTCATTTATTGTGACTAAGTTATTCAATAATCTTTCCAATTTAAACTTTCTTTACTATTGATAGACGCATTGTATTTTAATTATTATTAACATGAATGGGCTAGATGATATTTTAGTAAGTGTACATGTATTGCTCTTTATGTTCAAGATGAATCAATACATCAGATGTTTTATGTGTAACATGTGCAAAAGTGAGCGTGGCTCACTAATACCCCCGACCCACCTAGTGTGTCAGTAGTTACAAATTAAATAGCTAGGATAGGGTTAGCAACTTAGGGTTTGAAAAATTCATAAAAAATGGAAAATTAATAAAAACATTTTTTTCCTTTTGACTGCTCCCCTCCATATGACACAGATTATATGTACTAAGTTTGAGATGAATCCTCTGAATAGTTTAAGAGAAATCGCGCGGACAAAGTTTTCGGACGGACGGTCGGAATCTTGGTATAATTAAAAACGGTCTCGACTCGGGAACATTGCTGTCCTTTGAACCGTAAATCAGGTCAATATCAAAACAACGCTTCAATATTTCTGCTACCTTGAGATGGCGGACCAAATCCAGCACTTGCTGTTTGCTCAAATTACATGACAACAGTGGGGGCAACCGAGAGGGCTTGTCACCGCATGAAGGGAGGACATATTTTAAAGGTGTGAATTACATTCGAGGAATTGATTTCGTGGGCGAATTCTTTGAATTGCCGTGCGGGATAAACGTGTTGACGCCCAGATACGATCAAAATGTAGTTTGTCACAACAAAGAATCACCTCTCAAACGAGTCTATACTCGTTTTTACTGGCGTGTCTTGTCCAGACTCTATTGTTTACAGGTAGCGTTTTTCGGGAGTATTGCTGGCTGTACAGTTTGACAACGAAAATACACTCACTTTTTTTATGTAAAGTGTGTTAGTGGCGGTTGCTACCGTTAGGGCAGGACATACAGACATATATTTTATTTTGGCAGGCTTAACCTTTTCTCGAACGTCTAGTGTAATCACTGGTTTTCAGAGCTCCATTCATGTGGCCATAATGATATAATAATATCATTTTTATCACTGTTTTTCAGTGCTCCATCCATGTGGTCATAATGATATAATAATATCATTTTTATCACTGGTTTTCAGTGCTCCATCCATGTGGTCATAATGATATGATAATATCATTTTTATCACTGTTTTTCAGTGCTCCATCCATGTAGTTATAGTGATATAATAATAACATTTTTTTCACTGGTTTTCAGTGCTCCATCCATGTAGTTGTAATGATATAATAATATCATTTTTAACACTGGTTTTCAGAGCTCCATTCATATAGTTATAATCTTATAATAATGTCATTTTTATCACTGGTTTTCAGTGCTCCATGCATGTAGTTATAATCTTATAATAATATCATTTTTATCACTGGTTTTCAGTGCTCCATCCATGTAGTTATAGTGATATAATAATATCATTTTTATCACTGGTTTTCAGTGCTCCATCCATGTAGTTAAAATGATATAATACTATCATTTTTATCACTGGTTTTCAGTGCTCCATCCATGTAGCTATAATGATATAATAATATCATTTTTATCACTGGTTTTCAGAGCTCCATTCATATAGTTATAATGACATAATATCATTTTTATCACTGGTTTTCAGAGCTCCATTCATATAGTTATAATGACATAATATCATTTTTATCATTGGTTTTCTGTGCTCCACCCATGTAGTTATAATGATATAATAATATCATTTTCATCACTGGTTTGCCAATTACTTCCAACGGAATCTGTTTTGGTAGATTGGGTAGACTGGTTTGACGTTGTGAATTTGCACACGCCCATACTTTCCTTAAGGTGAATGATAAGATACACATTTATCTCCATACATCTTTAACAAGGCTGCACAAGTGGTATCTCTCACTTTATTCAGTACTTTAAGGACACGGGCCTTTTTGTAAAAACGAAATACAATTTAGTACAACACATCTCTTTATTTTTTTAACAAAAGCAGTTTTAACAATTGCTTATTATCAAAGTTGGATTATTTGTGAAGGGAGGACATATTTTAAAGGTGTGAATTACATTCGAGGAATTGATTTCGTGGGCGAATTCTTTGAATTGCCGTGCGGGATAAACGTGTTGACGCCCAGATACGATCAAAATGTAGTTTGTCACAACAAAGAATCACCTCTCAAACGAGTCTATACTCGTTTTTACTGGCGTGTCTTGTCCAGACTCTATTGTTTACAGGTAGCGTTTTTCGGGAGTATTGCTGGCTGTACAGTTTGACAACGAAAATACACTCACTTTTTTTATGTAAAGTGTGTTAGTGGCGGTTGCTACCGTTAGGGCAGGACATACAGACATATATTTTATTTTGGCAGGCTTAACCTTTTCTCGAACGTCTAGTGTAATCACTGGTTTTCAGAGCTCCATTCATGTGGCCATAATGATATAATAATATCATTTTTATCACTGTTTTTCAGTGCTCCATCCATGTGGTCATAATGATATAATAATATCATTTTTATCACTGGTTTTCAGTGCTCCATCCATGTGGTCATAATGATATAATAATATCATTTTTATCACTGTTTTTCAGTGCTCCATCCATGTAGTTATAGTGATATAATAATAACATTTTTTTCACTGGTTTTCAGTGCTCCATCCATGTAGTTATAATGATATAATAATATCATTTTTAACACTGCTTTTCAGAGCTCCATTCATATAGTTATAATCTTATAATAATGTCATTTTTGTCACTGGTTTTCAGTGCTCCATGCATGTAGTTATAATCTTATAATAATATCATTTTTATCACTGGTTTTCAGTGCTCCATCCATGTAGTTATAGTGATATAATAATATCATTTTTATCACTGGTTTTCAGTGCTCCATCCATGTAGTTAAAATGATATAATAATATCATTTTTATCACTGGTTTTCAGTGCTCCATCCATGTAGCTATAATGATATAATAATATCATTTTTATCACTGGTTTTCAGAGCTCCATTCATATAGTTATAATGACATAATATCATTTTTATCACTGGTTTTCAGAGCTCCATTCATATAGTTATAATGACATAATATCATTTTTATCACTGGTTTTCAGAGCTCCATTCATATAGTTATAATGACATAATATCATTTTTATCATTGGTTTTCTGTGCTCCACCCATGTAGTTATAATGATATAATAATATCATTTTCATCACTGGTTTGCCAATTACTTCCAACGGAATATGTTTTGGTAGATTGGGTAGACTGGTTTGACGTTGTGAATTTGCACACGCCCATACTTTCCTTAAGGTGAATGATAAGATACACATTTATCTCCATACATCTTTAACAAGGCTGCACAAGTGGTATCTCTCACTTTATTCAGTACTTTAAGGACACGGGCCTTTTTGTAAAAACGAAATAAAATTTAGTACAACACATTTCTTTATTTTTTTAACAAAAGCAGTTTTAACAATTGCTTATTATCAAAGTTGGATTATTTGTGTTCTTAAAGCTTTGGCCTAAGACAAGTACTTTGCTGTATTCATATTGATAATAGAGTCTTGCATCAGTAGTGTATTAAACTTCAGAATATATGGAAAGATGTACCATTTAGATTGTTTAACTTTGCCTAAAATGGCTATAAGGTGGACAAATTAACAAAAAGTGACATTCATTTTCGATATGGTTTAGAAACAAACTTCACATTTTCTAATTTTCAAATATTAAAATGTCACCCACCTTCAATTTCACGAGTGTTATATGGCAGTGTCATGTATTGTGAAGCAATGTTGTAATTATATAATATTATTTCTGTTAAGATTCAGTAGAAGCTCATAACATTGTTTTAACAATAATTAGTAGCCAGTAATGTATTACAATCTAATGTCAGCAGTGGTGTTGAAATTACCATATTTTGATGCTGTTGGGGTCAAGGGTAATCTAGAATCTTCTAGAACAGCATGCTACTCGTATGGAACTTTCTAGAAGGTCGTTGAACTATATAAGTGGGCAAGTGCATGCATCACTCTCATCTCACATTACATCAAGACCAGCGGTTGTGTGAAGATCATCTTTAACCCTGGATATCCAACCTAGTTCTATTTTGGAAGCTTGACCACTGTTGCTGCTAGGTGGATATTATTATCTCTGACTTTAATGCTATTACCAATGCCACTGTATTTTATATTGCCATTGAAATTGGATTGTTTGAATTTTGCACCAAACAGGGTTACAACAAGTACCATATTTTAACATCATTTGGTATGACAAATCCGGGGATCGAACGCCAGACCTTCCACTCTCCGTGCGGACGCTCTACCACCAGACTACAGAGGCGGTTTATTATTGAACTTACATAATGTTTATCTCCTAACTCAAACATTTCTAAATCTGTCTAAATCATGGGCAACTTTGGTCAACCGAAGTTCAAAACCTACCCCAGTGTCCCTGATTACACAAATAGGTAAAATGTGTGAAGACCATGTTCAGTGTCCCCCCACCCCATGATAGGCCTGCTATGTAGGCCCAAAGCACTCTAACTCATGCTCACTCACACAAAATACCGCTGAAAACATACAAAATCATATTGAAATTGTTTATTTTTGTCCAATCACTGCAGGCAGCTGTAAGATATACATACATCGGACATCAATGACATGGAGTTTCATTAATACAAACCGGTGATCTCAACAGTCAATTGAGACATAGAAGTACTTCGATGTCTGTCCCATACCAAGGAATACCATTCTCAAATCACAACACAGTTGAACACTTTACGCAATCACAAACACAAAGTATGTATGTAATAAATACATATACCAGGAATATGTACATCATTATAATGAAGCACATGGTGGTGATCCATCCTCACATATCAGGGTATTATTATTCAAGTTTTCCTTACCAGCCCCCAGGAGTCACACATGTGCAACAATTGTACCCTTGGATTCACATGTTAAAGACCAGTTATTCAAAAACTAATTACTTTAAAATATAACGGATTGTGATACACCAAATGAGACAAACAAGCCTCTCTCTACCTGTCAGCAATAGTCTCTACACTGTCCAATCAACATATCATTCAAAGCTTCAAATGAAATACTACAAGGAAGAATTGGAGTTAATTTCTGAATTGAATCTGGTATTTCATTGTCATAGTTTAGAAGTCAATAACAAACAAATATTTTTGGACAAAAGCCAGAGTGATCTTGAGTGATAATGAACATGATGTTTAACAGTTCAATAGTTTTCCTTAAACACTTTACCACTGCTGTGAACTTAAAAACTCTGTCTAATAGAAATGTCCTCCGTTAACATCGCAAGTCAATCAAATTCCACTGATATGACTAATGATGACAAATCAAAGTCGACACAAAATTTCATGTTACACTTCCAACGAAACTACAAACTGAACATCGGTGGTAAGATCCCAAGTATCTAATGACAAATCAAAGTCGACACAAAATTTCATGTTACACTTCCAACGAAACTACAAACTGAACATCGGTGGATCCCTAGTATCCCAAGTGAGGATTCCATAGAACAAGTCCTCAGTACCCATTGCTCGTAGTAAGAGTGAGTGAGTTGGGTTTGAACAGTTTTCCAGGGCATGTTAGGGTAGAGTAGGAGGAACGGCTGAAGTGATGCAGGTCTGAGACGTTTACCACTTTGGTGAAACCCACAAGCACGGGTATGGTGTTGACAACCCTAGAATTATAATTGGGGCAAACTAGGAATCGAACCCTCAATCATAGGTTTCTGGCGTGGTTTGTGGTAAGAAATAAGGATTGGTTGGCAACAATGTGTGACCTGGGCAGTTTCCATCCTACCCCAACAGTGTGGATCTTTTAACATGATTATTTACATGTCAACCATCACATGGCAGCGACATTGCTGACAGAGGCAGGCATTAGACAACATCGTAACATTCACTCACAGTCGTGAGAACATTTGCTGGATACATCCATGTGTGACTTTTACAGAATAAATGCAGTCACCTCCTCATTCTCTTTGTGTCAGCATACAGCATATTCATAAAAAAACAAACAAATTTCAGTGAAACACAAAACTTTGTCATGTCATGTTATCAGAACACATTTTATCACCTCCATTCCGTTAACAAGAACACAGCCAAAGGCTCTGGTCCATTGCAGGTTGTACATCTGGGTCACAATTACCTCCTCCATAATTGTCCTCTTACCAATGCACCAATACAGCAGTGCTGCTTGAGCTGTACGTACTAAAGTATTACACAGGCCAAGAAGCTTGTGGGCCTTGAGAGGTAAAGGATTTGTTTGTTTGTTTGTTTGTAGTTTAACGCCGCAGTCAGCACTATTCCAGCTATAAGACAGAGGTCTTTAAACAATCGAGTCTGGACCAGACAATCCAGTGATTGACTTCATAAGCATCGATCCACACAATTCAATTGGGAAACGATGACATGCATCAACAAAGTCAGCGAGCCTGACCAGTCTATCCCATTAGTCGCCTCTTACACCAAGCATATAGGTTAAGGAAAAACTGTTTTGAAGTATTTGGCTGTGCTCAAAGACAGAGGACATGGGACAGTACTGTGTCAGGATAAAAGGAATATTTTGTTCTGGCAACTACGTTCATGTCCCAGTCCTCTCAATCATCATTTATTACAAGAAAAGCTCAGGTTCCACATTGCATTCCACACACATTTATATCCATTGCTATCACCTCCAGACAGGTGACACAGAGACCTTAGCTGACTGTCCTGTATGCATTGCTTTAATTGCCTTATCACTGATAAAAACTAACAAAAATCCACTAGTCCTTATATAAATGAAAACAAATAGTAAAAGCCTTATAAGGGAAAATTTCTACTGGTCCTTATAATAACTATTGGGCAGTTTGGCAAGGACTATAGGACTAGTGCCAATTTCTAACGTTGCTTATACATACAAGAGGCACATTGCTCCCCCAGTTCGCCTTGGAGGTGATCCACTTGATAAAGGATAGCTCCCTTGCTGTCATCCAGGTGGCACTGTGATCTAAGCTGACTGTTCAACCTCTAATACATACAAGAGGCACATTGCTCCCCCAGTTAGCTTTAAAGGTGATCCACTTGATAAAGGAGGTATAGTACATAGGAACATGATGATGTATATATATATTTGTGCCAGCAAATATAATGAAGATAAAGAAGGATACATTGTTATGCAAATTGGATGGTATCATCATCCTAATATTCCTCAGGAATATATCATGCCTCTGAGGTATTTAAGTCATAGCGTCTACCTGACAATTCCAACATTCCAACAAGTAAGATACCCATGTATCCACAATAACATTTTGATGTCCTTTTTGCACACTGTAAATATCTTGCATGGTAATGAACCATACCAATATATATCCACTTGAGACCTTCCTATGTCCCATGTTTTGGAGTCCAAGGTGAACTCCATTCACTGAGCAAATCAAAAGTCTTCTCACAATGATTCACAGTAAACTGTATTGTTCCGACATGCTCCGACTGAACCAGCTCCATGTCCCCTGTGCACTCAGTCCAGACTTCAGTGTTACAATGGAGTCAGGCACATACATGTCTTCACAGCAGCTGTGTCCATACCACCTGACATCATGGGGGCCAGTTCCAGGAAGATAGCCATGTCCTTTAATGCATCCCAAAGGCATTATCTTCATTTGTCATTTCCACTTGAAAAGCTTCTCTTTTGCCCTTAGTCAGCACTTTTTTCTTTTGACTTAGTTTCTTAAGGCAACACTTTCTCTCACTTGCTTTCTTCCTTGGCTTCCTCAGCCATTTCCTGCCATTTGGATAAGTTTGCTCTGGGAAGGGAATGTTAAATGTTAGATCTATCATGTAATATTTATAACAAATATTTCGTTCATTCAAAGCAAGATGCACCAAATAAGGTTAAGATATATGGATGAAGAACTTATTATTACAATCAGGAGCTACGTCTCAGTGTAGGTTCTAACACTGTTATCAAGCAAATAAGGATAAGATATATGGATGAAATAGGGGCGGTCGGGTAGCCTGGTGGTTAAAGGGCTCGCTCGTCACGCCGAAGACCCGGGTTCGATTCCCGACATGGGTACAATGTGTGAAGCCCATTTGTGGTGTCCCCCGCCTTGATATTGCTGGAATATTGCTAAAAGCGGTGTAAAACCATATTCACTCACTCACTCACTCAGGACAAATAAATAAAAAAATATAATGATTACATTATTAAATAGGGGCGGTCGGGTAGCCTGGTGGTTAAAGGGCTCGCTCGTCATGCCGAAAACCCGGGTTCGATTCCCGACATGGGTACAATGTGTGAAGCCCATTTGTGGTGTCCCCCGCCCTGATATTGCTGGAATATTGCTAAAAGCGGTGTAAAACCATATTCACTCACTCACTCACTCAGGACAAATAAGTGTCAAATAAAAAAAATAAATATAATGATTACATTATTATTAGCAAACTATTGCTACAGTTTTTTTTAAAAACCCAAGAGTCTCACCTTATTCCTTCGACCATTGGTGTAGTCGCAGGAAGAATCTGGGCCAGCAACTCATAACAGGGCAGACATATGCCAACAATGAAGCCCACCTAGAAGTAAAAGGTCATGTACTCAGATTAGATCTGGATATGATGTAAGAGTATGTTAATTCAAAATGTCAGAGCCAGAGAATAATCAGTCTCAATTTTCTGCAGAAACAGATTCCATAGGGCATAAAAGGCAAAATATTGATGAAAATTATAAGAATGGGTCACTGAAAGAAATGATGACACCAGGTGTCTAAAAAAGGGTAAATCATGTTCTGTCCTAGTGGTAGCACCAGCCACTCACACAAAAGTCGAACAGAATATATTCTCTCAATATTCAAATCTTGGTGCACTAACTAGCAACAAAGTACCTCTCATCTGTTTGACTAACACATATCAATAGTCCTCAGGTAGTGTTGCACAACCAAAGAATTTCTTATAAAGCATTATATTTCTGACCCTGGTAGACCATCCTCCTTCAACAAGAGTTTAAATACCATGTCACAATAAGGCCAAAATATTGCTGACATGGCCATAAATTTGAACTCAATCTCTTCCTGTCACATTAAGGCCAAAATATTGCTGACATGGCCATAAATTTGAACTCACTCTCCTCCTGACACACTAATGCTGAAATATTGCTGACATGGCCATAAATTTTAACCCACTCTTCTCCTGTCAAAATATGGCTGACATATTACTGACATGGCCATAAATTTTAACCCACTCTTCTCCTGCTACACAATATGGCTGAAATATTGCTGTCATGGCTACAAATTTGAACTCACCTCCAGCTGTGGTAGTTCATGTTTCTTGTCCCGATCCATCATTGCCATGGGGGTCATGCCCTGTTCCTTCTCCTCATCTCCCTACAAGGTCAAGGTCAATGTTACTATATTCAAAGACCAGGACACTCTGCCTCACCTGCATAAGTGTTACTAATAATAATTTCTGATAACATTTTAAGATATTTCATCACTTGAAAAATATGAGGAGTGAATGTAATAACTATTAGTTTCTGTAATAGAATGTACAACACTTTTCTTTATATTAAGTTATCTGAGACACAAATAATTAAATGACATTAACCAATACAGAATCTTACAATAACTGTTACTAGAAAGTTTATACTAGTTATTCAAGTGTAAGCATATGTTTTAGGCATTAAATTGTTCATTTATACAATGAATATCTACCTACATATCCAGCATTTATCCAGGACAACTTGGAAAATGTTCTGTGACAGTATTAACACATAAATATGGTCCTACTGTAGGAATGATGACAAAGAGGACACCCAGAAGATGAAAGAGAGATAGAGAGAAATTATTAGAAAACATCAAAGAAAGAAATCCAAGAAAATAGAAGGCAATAACTGGTCAGAAGTGACCATATTCAAACAAGATACCATATTAAACAATTCCCCTTGACTAAATGACTAGATTGAAGGATGGTGGATCTCTGCTTGCACTGAAAATTGGATGTGATGATTCATTGAACTATTGATGCATTGCATTGTCTCATTGATGCATTCTCTATGGGCCGATGACAATTTAACTATGACAAGTTGTAATATTAATATTAAAGATACCAATAGATGAACAAAATAATTACTTTAATATCATTCATTCTTCTACAAAATACACATTGTTTTAAGAGCCGTGTAGGTATCTATTCAGAATTCATTCACAACTTTACATTAAATATTTAGCTACTTCTGTAACAACTTCTAGTACATTCTACATGATTGTATGGAATCTACATTGTGCCAACTGTTGCAGTACTATCACAGCAATATTTGTAAGTATATTACAAAATATACAATGTCCCCAAAGGTTAGCCATACTGAAAATAATGGATAAATAATGAATATATTTTTGGAATTAGAAAAGTGTTTGAATCACATGCAAATGCCGAAGCCTACCCAACCCCATACCGAATGCTCTCAAACTTTCTCATCAGAAACATGCATCATGAACCATGTTGACTCGGCCAACCTCTCACAATGCAGTAGAACTTTGAACAGAAACTCCAACTACTCTAGCAACATTAATAACAAAGTTACGAGCCCTTCCTGTTTAATAGCATTACTTCCACTTCGTGAAAACACATCTCCCATCGCCATTGCAGTACCATGTTGAAACAGAAACTCCCATGAATCTAGCTACCTTAATAACAAGTTACAAGCGCTTGTACAGGTCATTGATGAGGATATGACCTTCAAACTGACCTCAAAATTTGAACACAGCCATGAAATATGACAAGTATTGAGTTAATTATTGGGAGTCAATGATAAGTCATTGGAAAATGCTTTGATTTCCCATGAATTAATCTGAAACATCATGAAATTTGAACAATGTTCCATAATTTGACATATGTGACCTTGACCGTACAGGGGTGACCCAAGACCAAACTAGAGTTTCATCAAATTCCATAACAAAATTAAGGTTATCACCTACATAATCTTTTGACTCCTATTTTGTAGGAACATTTGTAACATATTCTCCAAGGGTATTGTTGTTTCTCATGGGAGTACAGGACTGTCCCCAGTAGGCCAAGTTGTCATGTGAGTGCACCACCTTGCCCATTAGGGGCCATTAGATCTCCTCAGTAAGTCTGTTTCTCATGGGAGCATACGATGTCCTCAGTAAGTCTGTTTCACAAGGGAGCGTAAGACCTCCTCAGTAAGTCTGTTTCTCATGGATGAGTAAGACCTCCTCAGTAAGTCTGTTTCTCATGGGAGAGTAAGACCTCATTAGTAAGTCTGTTTCTGAAGGGAGAGTAAGACCTCCTCAGTAAGTCTGTTTCACAAGGGAGCGTAAGACCTCCTCAGTAAGTCTGTTTCCGAAGGAAGTGTAAGACCTTCTCAGTAAGTCTGTTTCTGAAGGGAGAGTAGGACCTCCTCAGTAAGTCTGTTTCACAAGGGAGCGTAAGACCTCCTCAGTAAGTCTGTTTCACAAGGGAGCGTAAGACCTCCTCAGTAAGTCTGTTTCCGAAGGAAGTGTACGACCTTCTCAGTAAGTCTGTTTCTGAAGGGAGAGTAAGACCTCCTCAGTAAGTCTGTTTCACAAGGGAGCGTAAGACCTCCTCAGTAAGTCTGTTTCTGAAGGAAGTGTAAGACCTCCTCAGTAAGTGTGTTTCTCATGGATGAGTAAGACCTCCTCAGTAAGTCTGTTTCTCATGGGAGAGTAAGACCTCATTAGTAAGTCTGTTTTCTCATGGGAGCGTAAGACCTCAGTAAGTCTGTTTGTGAAGGGAGAGTAAGAACTCCTCAGTAAGTCTGTTTCTCAAGGGAGCGTAAGACCTCCACAGTAAGTCTGTTTCACAAGGGAGTGTAAGACCTCCTCAGTAAGTCTGTTTCTGAAGGGAGCGTAAGACCTCCTCAGTAAGTCTGTTTCTCAAGGGAGAGTAAGACCTCCTCAGTAAGTCTTTTTCTCATGGAAGAGTAAGACCTCCTCAGTAAGTCTGTTTCTCATGGGAGAGTAAGACCTTATTAGTAAGTCTGTTTCTCATGGGAGCGTAAGACCTCCTCAGTAAGTCTGTTTCTCAAGGGAGAGTAAGACCTCCTCAGTAAGTCTGTTTCTGAAGGGAGCGTAAGACCTCCTCAGTAAGTCTGTTTCTCAAGGGAGAGTAAGACCTCCTCAGTAAGTCTGTTTCACAAGGGAGCGTAAGACCTCCTCAGTAAGTCTGTTTCTCAAGGGAGCGTAAGAACTCCTCAGTAAGTCTGTTTCTCAAGGGAAAGTAAGACCTCCTCAGTAAGTCTGTTTCACAAGGGAGCGTAAGACCTCCTCAGTAAGTCTGTTTCTCATGGGAGTTCAGGACCCCCCTAGAAAGTTTGTTTATGATGGGAGTGATGTCTGGAATGGAGAGTGCGAGTCACATGGGCTGTTAGGATGTTAGTGCTGGTTTAGTAGAACTAATATATCGACTAATTCCAGTATAAGGATTCCTACCTGCTGCCAAAACTCTTCCATAATGACATAAACGAGGTTAAGCTGCGTGTCCCAGGGCTTATACATGGCACAAAGGTCACATGCGGTCATGGAAACAGTCATTAGCATATGTCTGCAGATTGAGAGAGATGTCCACATAATCACACTAGCCACAAAGTAAGCACTAAAATAACAGACTTGTCTCTACATACCTTACTCTGTACTGATTCAGTGACATACAACCTTACTCCAAGGCCTTGTTTCCACCAGTAATACAAATCAAAAGGTTTCCAGATAAATTTGCTGGAAAACATAGGCATAATTATACCTACCTAACAGCAATTTTATCATTTTATTTTTGAAGCATTTTAATCATTTTCATAAAATGTGAAGAGTATGTAGTGACAAGTCTGAGTGTTAACAATAGCATATCTGAAAAAAAAGTTGAATTAAGGCTTTGCACCATACTTATTCCAATAGAAAAGAGGCATTATAAAACAATCATCAACAGGTAGGTGTACACTGCATTCACCTATCAACAGGATATACATTGTACTAATATATGCATAGCAGTTGTGTAGTGTTAATTTTCAGTAATTCCAGAAATATAGAAAGGGTCCTACTCCATAAATGACTTTGAGGCACTGTGTAGTGAGCGAGTATGGTTTTACATCGCTTTTAGCAATATTCCAGCAATATCATGGCGTGACGAGTGAACGCTTTAACAAGTAGGCTACCCAACCGGCCCGAAGCACTGTGTAGAGGAAATGCCACAATATTGCTGTTTTTCCGATATAAGCTGAGCGTTCATTGGTCTGATCAAATCTGCCAATGAACTCGCTGCTGTATGTATTCATTGGTGATGTCAGAACATAGTGTACACAAACCCTTGAAATAATGATGATTGCATAAATATCTCATTAAGATCATAATTATGTTAGCAAAGAAATATTTAAAAATCATTGATTCATTTTTCATATTTTTTACAAAATTATTTTCATTGGAATAAATCTGATGTCCCAGACACAGTACAATCCTCCATTGCTTACAACTAAGTCAGACAGTTTTATTTCATCTACAGAAGAACTCACAATAACAGGCAAACACAGGTGATGAAAAATAATTGGCAAAACCTCATGAATGTCATTGAAGCAAACCCCAGAAAAAGATTGGGATTCATCCAAAGAACATTAAACACTTCTAAAAGTAATGAAGTAAAATAAACACTAATAGGTGGGTCAAAATATGTTGGAAAGAAAATTTAGAAAATAAAATTAACATTAAATAAACATAAAAATACACGTGTGGATACACGTACTTAAAGAAAAATGGTGTGCATATGCCATCATCAAGTTCATAAATATTTTGAAATGTTGATTTTCAATGTAATTAGAAAAAGTCATAAAAACACTACCCAAAGAAGAAATATATAAATAACTAGCAAATCCAGAAATGCAGTGATAAAAGAATCAAAACAAAGTGCACAATACAATAAACTAAAGCAAAAACTCATGCACAAATACTCCTTATAACAGTTTTTACAGGACTGCCGGTAAGCTATGCTAATGTATCTGCCATGCATACATAGGCCGATTACATTCAGCTGAAACAGGCAAGACAGCCTCACACTCTGTAGAAGTCACCTGTGCATAAAACTCCTCATAAATGACCTTGACCGTTTCCGCCTGCACGTCCCATGGCTTTGTCATTGCACAAAGGTCACACGATGTCATGGCAATGTCACGTAACACCCGCCTAGCATGTCAGGGAAAATTGAAAATTATAATTGAACAGATGTCTTTGAATGTCATTAACAACAAGTGACTCTGGAAAACGAATACCTTTGTCGTATTAAATTGTTTTTCTTAAATGTGAAATTTATATAACATACTGCTTTCTGATTGAATCATATTCCAGTCAAATGACCATGAAAGTGACATTCACAAGCATCTGATTGACCTATTTTGACTTTCATATGCTCATTAAGAGGTACGATTCCTCAAATGAAAGCCACTGGGCTACTGCAACATTCCAGCCGAAACTCCAGGGAACTAACTGATGCAATTAACTGCAGAAACACTGTGTATATTGTTAAGAGATTGTATCCTTGACATAAGCGTCTTTGAAAAAGGTGAAGAAGAAATGATTTATGATCACATATTCTGTAATGAAACTTCTGCACCATGATCTAACCTACAGTGAACGAAATGAGTGAGTAAGTGAGTGAGTTCGGTTTTGATGCCGCTTTGAACAGTATTCCAGTTATATCATGGCATATCAGCTAAATGTACAAGGAAAGCCCAAAGTAATGCAGGTCTCAGAGGTTTCCCACTTTGGAGAAACCCACAATCTTGTTTATGGTGCTGACATACCTAGAAACATAATTGGGGCAAACCAGGAATCGAACCCATAATCATGAGAACAACAGACATCATTGTTTATAATTCTAAGAATACTACCTCTATTACATCCTTGCCATAAATCCTGTATTTCGGCTGCAATCACTGAAAACTAATCTTTAGAATTTTCAACAGAACACTGTCAACCACACATAACTAGTTGTCAAGACAATAGGACCGCCCATCGTCTAGCTCTCTGGCTTGTCAAGGCAGGAAAACCTCACCTCTTTCCCAAAGGCTTATCATCGTAGAGACAGAAGATTGGGGAGGAGGGTGGGAGTACTTCTGAACTAATAGAGGTAGTTGCCTTAGAATTATAAACAATGATGTCTATTGTTCATATAATTCTTGCGAATCCTCTTCCTCTATTACAACCAATGAAGTTCAGGAATGGAATAGGTCTTCAGCAACCCATGCTTGCTTGGCGACTAACGGTATCGGGGGGCCAGGCTCAATGACTTGGTTTGTGCATGTCATCGTATTCCAATTGCGTGGATCGATGCTCATAATATCAATCACTGGATTGTCTGGTCCAGACTCAATTATTGAAAGACTGCAATCTTGTAGCTGGAATATTGCTGAGTGCAGCATTAAACAACAAACAACCAAACAACGCTCTATCACATCATTGCCAGAATATACCAGAGAGATAGGCGGGTTCTGGCTCTGGTGTGCTCCCAGTGTAGCGGATAGTGGTATAATATTCTTGTGATTTCATCCCCTAATAGTTGTTTCCAATCCTGAAGGTGAAAAACCAACTATCAAATCACTTCATGTGCAAAACACAAATATGTAGTATCTTCACTAGAACTACCAACTATTTGTTATTATGCAATCATAGATGTTCTAAACCTATCTCTCATACATATTATCTTTTCTAATTTTGTGACGTCACTTTCGGTCTATTATACTTCCGGGTGTGACGTCACTTCCAGGTATTGTTGCTATATGTTGTTATTTCTGGTTCTGACATTCCTTATTTCCCTTCAAATTGTGATGTCAATTCCGGTTTTAAGTGTTCTTTCTGGTTTTGTGACGCCTTTTCCGGCTAACTCTGGTCCAGGACGTCACTTCCGGTTATGATGACACTTCATTGTGACGCTTCTCCCGAGAGCATAGAATATTGCCTTAATTTCTAGGCAGTTTATGTTAAGGTTCTTTTCGGAAGTGTTCCAAAGACCTTGAATCCTGATATTGTCCATATTAGGCTCCTGAAAAGAGACATATACCAACAGAGTGGTCGTATGGGACGAGATGGTACTGTGAGCAACATCTTCAAGGTCTTTGCTTAATGATACTGCAGGGGGGTAAGACATCAAAGATGTAGCATGGATCTGGCCCTATGTGTACACTAATAATGTCTGGTGATGGTCTCTGACTTCGTTGGATATACCACCAAACCCAGATAAGTTGGCCAGGAAGATCCTGTTGTAACTGTGACCTGTCTTGATTCGGTGCCCCCAAACCGTCTAGGTAGACATGAAGATGGACTAGTTGCAGACGAAACCGTGAGTCTGGTGAATATCCAAGGTACTATAGATATCCCGAATGGAAGAACCTGAAATTCATATCTCCTTCCATTGACGGCAAAACATGGAGATATGCTCATGAACCTCACTGTCTGCCTTTCCCAGAGTTGAAAGCCACTTCTGTATTGATTCCATCTGGAACTGGCGTGGCGGTGCTAGAAAAGACTTGCTCAGGATCTTGCCTGCTATTATCATTCTCATGTCTGGGGAATTCTTCTCTGGTGCAAGAAATGTAAAATCATCTGTGATGTAGCAGGGCATAGAGTCATCCCACAGATGACATCACTGCCATGACAGTTTGCTCAAGGGGTTAACCTCTTTGGTCATGTGGACAAGGTGTCTAGAAAAACCTCAATGACAATGTTTGCAGTTTATAGCTTGGCTCATTCCAGATGGAATCTTTGGCCTTCTGGCAGGATTACAAATAGAGGATAGTGGTGGAAGTAAAGCTTGTACCATTTTGATACAACGTTCAGGATCTAGCCATTGGACTTGATCTGCTTCCAGTTCTAGGTGCATGACAAGAGATGTCCCCCAAGTTGGCGTTATGTTGACAGTCGGCAGTCTTAAATCGTGGTCCATAGTTAATGCCAGGTCGATAGGATGTAGAGATTGTTGAAAAGAATCATTCCTGATGGGTCTTGTTGTGTCTGCTGAAATTTCTTCAAAGGATTCCGGTAGCGTGGTGACGTGTCAGATACTGGTCACAAACCAAATCATCCAAATCTTTAAACCTAGCTGAAGGTAGGTCAAATCTTGAGTTTGGAGACTCTCATCCAAAACTTGAGAATCTGGTAGAGGTACAGTCATGTGTCTGATATTGTTTCTTCTTCAGCGACGTAAAGGGGAGATGATAATCGTGTCTCAGCCTCCATAAATTCTCTGACGCAAGGTCAATGATCTTGTGAGCATAGCTTGGCCATTGAAGAGAATGATGTACTCTAAGAGGTGAATGGGGTCTGAGATCCAGTATACTCTGGTATTTGAGGGAAGTCAAATTCCTCCAACTTCGGATGTATCAAAGGTATTAATGATACAGCTGTCCAATCTGCTCCGAGGTAGAGAAATGAGGATCAAAATCTCCCGACAGAGAATAATCAGATCCATCAAAATTATCTTCAACTTCCTCTTAGTCTGTGGGGTCAGATAGAATCTTTGGGGGTGACCTGGCGTATGGCGGCCAGATCAATCAAAGGAACCATGTGATTTTCACACGTGTCAAGGTCCGAAAGGGACCACAATGATTTAGGCCCGTGGAGAGTGAGTGAGTGAGTGAGTGAGTGAGTGAGTGAGTGAGTGAGTGAGTGAGTGAGTGAGTGAGTGAGTATGGTTTTACGCCGCTTTTAGCAATATTCCAGCTATATCACAGTGGGGGACACCAGAAATGGGCTTCACAGATTGTACCCATGCCGGGAATCGAACCCGGGTCTTCGGAATGTGGAGCGAACGCTTTAACCACTAGGCTACCCGACCCGCCCTGTGGAGTGTGAGACTCTAATCCATATGAAACAGTTCTCAAACAGTCTGCTTGGTTTCATTGTCTTCTCTACAGTCTTTATCCTGGGTGTTCAGGATAGCCAAATCTGAATGCTTCTGAGATGTCCAAGAGGCTTGGCTTCAGAAGAACCTCTAGGGTAACCGTGTGGTGATCGTGACGATCTGGTAACGGACGATGACTTGGCGCCTGTCGGGTCTGTGCAGGTACCGTACTGAGACTGTGACGACCAGGTAAGGGCTGGTGGATTGACTCCTGTACTGGAACTGTGCTCTGCAGAGACGGTGTTTGTCTGGTCCATGTGGTAGGTGGATAATTGGCTGGTAGATTGGCTTCCCTCGCGACAGTCCTGATTACCGTGCGGTGAACGTGCCAGCTATGTATTCTTGGTGAAATATAGCTGAATGGCATCTAGCTCTCTGGTCAGTTAGTGACAAGCTGGGCGCTCCCTCAGAAGGTCGTACGGCCATGGTAGTAGACAGGAGATGTTTATCCAGCGGCTGTCCACCTTGCGGCATCTTGGCCAGGGACTTCTTGGCTTGATCGCAGGAGCCTTAGGCGTTCCCGATCCTGATCCATCTTGAGTAGCAGTTGAGGGTGAGGAAATAACATCGGCGATGGCATCCATATTTAATATTTAATGAAATACCATGACCAATGTTAAGTGACAATAGTGAATGAGTAGAGAAAATTATCAATGACAACAGAACATCTAATATCTGTCTAATAAAAGCTGTGAAAGAAGTATTGGGAAGGCAAAAGTTAACGATCAATATGCATTGTTAAAAAAACAAGAAAAGAAAATGGTCTAATCATCACAGTATTTCGTGATTTTATTTCACGTGGCGAGGACAATAGCGATGTCATTTGATTGCGATGTCATGGTAACCAATGATGTCACAAAGGGTTGCAAAGCATTGCAATGCAATATCTTTGTAGCGTTATCTCCTACATTATACGCCAATGGAAGCCAGTTTTGCTAATTTCTTTCTTTACCATCACTAAAAAAATATGGATTTCCATCAAATTAACTATTTATGAAACAAATTATCCTTCTGGCTTCCATTTGTCCATTGCCATTGCTATAACCTATCATTTGCTCATTGCCCATTGCCAGTCATTGATAATTTAAGTCCTGGCTTCCAATTGTCCATCGCTATCAACTATTCATTAACTAACTGTCGTGTGTTGGCTTCCATTTGTCCATTGCAAATCTTCTATCAGCAGCAATGAACTGATGGCTTCCCTTGTTAAGTTCCTCCCTTTGTTATTTCATTACTTTTGTTGTTCTAGCTTACAGGAACATATATATGTCCTCTGCCTCATAGCATTCATTCACCTGATGAAGGAGCAAGTATACACTCTGAAACGTTGTGTTCCTCATAATAGAGAAGTTAACATCAATAATTTTTCTTCCTTATGTGTATCACTTCTAAATGCCATTCAAAGACTATTTGTAAAACACTAATGTAAAATCAGCTACTCTTGCAGTAGTTGCCTTACATTGATGATCTTTACTCTAGAGTGGACATTTTTATCAGAAAATACATAAAAACATAGCATTAGCACACACAGATTTCATCTAGAGATAGTACATATTTCACAATATTCCACTGTTAGACTTTGAGGCTAAACAAAACTTTGCTCAAAATAATCTAATGTCAGTGCCAGACATGATCTGAATCAGTCAGTACATACATTACGTAATAAACACATTTTTTATGTTAAGCAAACAATGGAGAGACTGCACAACAACATATTAAATATCTCAAATAAAGAAGTTAAAAAACAAATTCAAACACAATTCAATGCACATGAGAATGACCTAAACATGAATATAGAGACAACTAAGAATATCCTTGTGACTCAAACAATCATTACCAGTATATCATTATGTGCATGAGATTATAAGTTAGTGAGTGAGTTTGGGTTAACACCGCTTTTAACAGTATTCCAGTTATATCTCGGCGTGTCAGCTTAATGTGGGAGGAAAGCCCAAAGTGATGCAGTTCTCAGACGTTTACCACTTCGATGAAACCAACGAGCACGGGTATGGTGCTGACAAACCTAGAAACATAATCGGAGTGAACCGGGATTTGAACCCACAATCATTGGTATCTGGCATGCCCAAGGGACGCAACTCTGCACAGCGAATCGCAGCGCCTTAGACGACTGGGCCACCCGTGACCCAATGAGATTAAAAGAAAGAATTATTGAAAAACATTGAATCATAATCTTTGTCCATGGTTTGCTGTCCAAATCATTGGCTATCACACATGACTGTGTGTGAGTTTACCTGTGTTCCTGTATGTCCCATGAAAAGTCATTCCTGTCTGCAATGTCCTTTAACTTGGCTCTGTTCCCAAAGAACAGTGCCAGGTCTGTAGCCAGAATGCAGTGCCGGATGTCACCCAGAACCTGCAATGACAGTAGCTATATACAGGAACAATGGCTGCTATCTGGATTCAAGGAGTGTTGATTATGCCTACCTCAAGTATCAATACATACATTCTAAATTCTCCATGTTCAACATGGCCCAGTTAAATTTCTAAATCCACCATGTGCAACGCAGCCCAGCTCAATTACTAAATTCTCCATGTTTCATGTTGTCCCGCTAAATTACAAAATCCTCCATGCTCAACCCATCCTAGCTCAATTACAAAATCCTCCATGTTCAACTCAGCCCAACTAAATTACTAAATTCTCCATATTCCACGCGGCCCAGCTCAATTACAAAATCCTCCATGTTCCACGTGACAAAGCTACCTTACTAAATTCTTTATGTTCCATACAGCCCAGCGGAATTATTAAAATCTACTTTCTTGTAAGATATAGAGTCTATTCCCCATCTGTAGTGCATAGATATACATGTAACTTCTCAGAGACCACCTTACCTTTTTGTATTCTTCTGAACACAGGTGCTTGAAGATATTGTGACCTTCATGCTGCAACAATCAAATTCCAGTATTACAATCACATGCAAACTGACACCACTGAAACATTACCATACAGGCTGATATATATGTATCTGGTCTACAACATAACATAAGATATTACTGTGTTTTATCTATATATTTGATCTGTACCTCAGAGCCAGGTCTACATCATAAGTTGTCCACCGGTCTCGAGGGGTATATGGTGTGATGTATGAATGAATGTTGGTAATCCCGACAAGCGATCCCTCAGGGAATAATATGAGTTGTCGCAGGATCATGAGGGGTACATGGGGTTTTATGCATCCTGGATTAGATTTTATACCATGAACCAAAGAGTGGTATAAAATCTAATGAGGGACGCATAAAACACAGTGATCCCCTTGTGATCCTGCTACAACAAATTCATCTTACCAACATGCTTTAATGTGACATTGTTATAGAATTAACACACATTCAAAATTGATAGAAAACAGCGATTTGATTGAGCTGAGGTTAACTTGTGCAATGTCATGTGACTTATGCGTGATAAGCAAGTTACCTAGATGTTTCCGTATATATTTCCCGGGCTACAAGGAAAATTATTTCCCTCTCCATAACCAATCAAAACCTGTGTGCGAAATATGCATGTCGGAAAGCACACGTAAAACCTCCAATCATCTCTCTCTCTCAACAAATGTTATATTGTGGATAACATCTTGTTAGTAAAGTACAGATTCTAGTACTTTTTTGGGTTGAGTCCCATCCGGGATTCGAACCCACACTGCCAGAGTGATGCACCTAATCGACAGCACACAAAGTCAGCAATCTAACCCACTCAGCCACACTAAGATAATGAAGCCTGCACCATGTGACCCACGACATGCTACTGTGGGGCCCAGCATGCTACCTGCAGTATCGCGACTGTCTGGTTGAAGTGATGATGTTCCATGGTGGAGGTGGAGTAGATGGCTGCCAAGGGGGAGGCACTCTTCACCATGAAGGCGTTGGTCTTCCCGCGATGATCCAAGTCATGACACAGGCATGCCACAAACAGTGCCAGGCTCTGAAACAGATGAACAACATTGGAATTCAACTTCCATGTGATCTGACGAGGACATTAGTTGACACCGGAGTAAAACAAATGTACCACGAATTACCCCATTTAGATGTTTCAGAATACTTGTGCCTTCACTGATATTAATACATGAAACTGGGGACATTTGGCACACCATGGCACAGTGTGATCACCAAAAGTCATACTGAGGTTAGCTCACTGGTGTCCTGCCCTACTAGCATTACAGTTATTATACACAGCCTATTAGGGGAATATGTAACTGACTGACCTCAGTTGTTTGATAGGCATTTCTTAGAAGTTGATGGAGGGCAAAGTAGACACAATTTATTGTCAAGTGATCCCTCGGGGAATATTATATGTTATTGCAGGATCATGAGGGGTACATGGGGTTTTATGCATCCTGGATTAGGTTTTATACCATGATCCGGAGAGTGGTATAAAATCTAACGAGGGACGCATAAAACCCAGTAATCCCCTTGTGATCCTGCTACAACAAATTTATCTTACCAACATACTTTAATGTGACATTGTTATAGAATTAACACACATTCAAAATTGATAGAAAACAGCGGTTCGATTGAGCTGAGGTTATCTTGTGCAATGTCACGTGACTTATGCGTGATAAGTTACCTAGATGTTTCCATATTGATCCGTATGGATAACAACTTCTTTATTTTACTGCAAAGGCAACGTTTCGGTATAGACCCTTATAAGTTGTCAAAAAGGAGTAAACAAGAGTCATGACTGACCTCAAGTGGAGTAAACAGTAGTCATGACAGACCTCAAGTGGAGTAAACAGGAGTCATGACTGACCTCAAGTGGAGTAAACAGGTGCCATGACTGACTCAAGTGGAGTTAACAGGAGCCATGACTGACCTCAAGTGGAGTAAACAGGAGACATGACTGACCTCAAGTGGAGTAAACAGGAGCCATGACTGACATCTAGTGGAGTAAACAGGAGCCATGACTGACCTCTAGTGGAGTAAACAGGAGTCATGACTGACCTCTAGTGGAGTAAACAGGAGCCATGACTGACCTCTAGTGGAGTAAACAGGAGCCATGACTAACCTCTAGTGGAGTAAACAGGAGCCATGACTGACCTCAAGTGGAGTAAACAGGAGCCATGACTGACCTCAAGTGGAGTAAACAGGAGCCATGACTGACCTCAAGTGGAGTAAACAGGAGCCATGACTGACCTCAAGTGGAGTAAACAGGAGCCATGACTGACCTCTAGTGGAGTAAACAGGAGCCATGACTGACCTCAAGTGGAGTAAACAGGAGCCATGAGTAACCTCTAGTGGAGTAAACAGGAGCCATGACTGACATCTAGTGGAGTAAACAGGAGCCATGAGTAACCTCTAGTGGAGTAAACAGGAGCCATGACTGACATCTAGTGGAGTAAACAGGAGCCATGACTGACCTCTAGTGGAGTAAACAGGAGCCATGACTGACCTCAAGTGGAGTAAACAGGAGCCATGACTAACCTCTAGTGGAGTAAACAGGAGCCATGACTGACCTCAAGTGGAGTAAACAGGAGCCATGACTGACCTCAAGTGGAGTAAACAGGAGCCATGACTGACCTCAAGTGGAGTAAACAGGAGTCATGACTGACCTCAAGTGGAGTGAACTGGTGGGCTGCCCGCTTGATGACTGTGTACATGGAGTGCGCCACTGAAAACGCATGAACCCAGTTGTGGTAGGGCACATTGCGGTAGTTCTTCCGCACAGTCAGCGTGAACCGAATCAAAGCATCCGTGTCAAACCTGAAAATTTGAATTATTTGATAAATGTCCATTTCGTAATAATTTACGACAAACTTACATACCAACAATATATTAATGGATCTGACACTTACAGCGCAAGAACCAAATACGTTTCCCTGTTCTGTTTCTTATTTTATATTATATTTTTCAGAATTATGTAGACTCCAACAACACTGAGCTACCAGTAGACATAAATATTGGCAGGTGCACTCTTTCTGTAAGACACACATCGATCAATGGAATCAGTATTGTTGACATATACATTATGATCAAATACAAAGATTGATTTAAGATACTAGGATTGGTTTTAAGAAAGTGCTACAATGCTGTGACCTTGTTTCCTCAGTATTGCATTTTGAGTGCAATCTTAAATTCACAAGTCCAGAAAATATGTTTTCCTGGGGCAACTGAAGTGACTTCACGTCTTGCAAGAAACAGAACTAAGAGCATGTGATGTAAAATAACTTGTGGTGAAAAGTGAGAAATGAGAATCAACAACTATTTGGAACCAAATACAACAGAGCAACTTTCAGTGGTCAAGTTTATCAATCTCCAAAATTGTATTTAATGTCGGTCCACACTCAAGTAGGTTTACAATTATTTTCTTCTTCTTAAGAACAATTATTCTGATTGAAAGAATGTTTTCATATAAGGCATTTTTAATACTTGGTGAATAAATGTGACAACCTTCAATTTCACAAATGTGGAATCAAATTTAAAAAACCAAACCAAAAAAACATGTCTTTCCTTCCTGTCAAAAAGTTGTTAACTTCTTTCAGCAATCAAATAAAAACTTCAATAGAGGTCAACATAAGTAAGGAAGGATATTTCAATACACTTTTCATGTTTTGTTTTCAATTTAATTTAAGTTTCTTAAGGTGAATACCATCAAAGATCTGAAAGCCAACTGATACAGATGAGGTCTACTGATGACCATTTCATATTCTGTGTGTAAGAGGGGGGAATGGAGGGTTGGGGTCAGGATGGATTTGTTTTACAAAAACAATTTGTTCAATGAAAAATACTAGAAAAATAATCTTGCCTCAGATTTTGCTGGGTGTCAAGACTAACAAAGAAGTTGGTTAAAAAAAAAAAAAATGAAAAGCAAAAGATTGTATGTCATGAAAATGTCTGGGATGTCTCCATAATCCCCCAACCCTCCAAGAATATTAAATGGTCAGTCTCCAAATATCTCTTATACTAAGGAGATAGTTCTAGCTCTAACAACATTAGTTCTATAAGCTTTAAGCCAATACAGGACATACCGTCATCACAACTCTATCAACTCAGTATTTACTTAAAGGAATTTTTTCACATCTTTTATCTTTTCAGATTTATAGTTTCGTTTGCTAAAAACAAGATAGCAAAGAAGGATTCACAAAAGGCTGAAATACTTTTGAATGGAATTTGTAAAACTTAGCTTGATAGTGTACATGATGAGTGTATATATATATATATATACTACTCAAAAGAAGTTAAGGATCACCCGATTCTTTCATATTGGTAATGTTAATCTGTCATGGCATGAGAGATTAACTATTGTAATATGAAAGAATCAGGTGATCCTTAATTTCTTTAGAGTAGTATATATATATGCGTGTGTGTGTGAACTTGCAGTGCATCAGACTTCTACAAATACAGAATCATTGTAAATAACGTGATACTTCATTTCAATGATGTAAAAAATATCAGTTACATGTGAACAGATTTTGAAATTACAAATACTGAATGAAAATAACGGTTGAAGTAAACCTGTAAATCCTTACATACAGTAGTCATGTCAATCAATGTATACTGAGCAAAAATAATTAAGAATCATGAATATTTTTTTGGATATTTTTTTGGAATATTGTGTGCTCTGTCTCCACTACGAAGCAAATATCACAAAAAATATTCATGACCCCTTAATGTTTTTATTCAGTATCTGTTCGTTTTGCAAACAATTCACTTCCATGGTTCCATGAATACTTGAATCCATGACACTTCAGGGAAGTATATAGGCTTGCGAATATTCTGTACTATATCCATAGCAAATGTCTGTTTAGGTTTAATCGTAGGAAAAGATTTGTTTGTTTGCCACACTCAGCAATATTCCATCTATATGACAGCAGTCTGTAGGTAATCAAGTCTGAACCAGACAGTCCAGTGATTGATATCATGAGCATTGATCTACGCAATTGGGATACAATGACATGTATCCACCAAGTCAGCGAGCCTGACCATCCGATCCCATTAGTCGCCTCTTACGATAAGCATGGGTTGCGGAAGACCTATTCTAAACCGGATCTTCAGGGGTCTGCAGGAAAAGAAAATTCCTTTATCTGTTTATTTTAAAACTCGAATTTCAACTTTGTAAAGGTGATTTGTTTCTCACTGATATCTGGGCCCATAAATTGAAAAGGGCTTTATACATAGCTTTGTGATATTGCAAGAAGAATGTTTAAATACTTTAGTGTCTAATATACCTACCATTGGCACATATTATATAATCATAGCTGAGGGTGGCGTTAAACAACAAACAAACATTTTAAAATCCTAGATAAATCCCTGAATATGCATTGAAACTGGAGCATACGTATCTTGATGATACTTCATCACAGTTAACGTTAACAAATATCCTAACCTGGACCAAGCATCGGTGTTATCTAACCATGACACAGAATAAAAACATACTATACACTATGGCACGTGTCAGTATAAACTTAATGTTACAAGAAATCATCTAACCATACTGCTAGACATATCTATCATAAGGCACCAAGCATGAAGGTAAAAAACAGGTGTCATATCTATATGCACAGGAGAAGAAATTCCAGAAAGAAGGCTGGGCAAAAAAACAACCAAAACAATTCAAACATTAATTACAATAGATTGGTATCAATTTCTTGTTTATCACTGTTGCACATTTTGGTGAACCATCACTATCCAAAGAATCCAACACCTCTAACACAGATACCGGAAAACCAACTTCCACACCCTTCCTTTTATGTTATACTTGCTCAATCACCACAAACCTCTCATCCAGTCACCCACCATCCCTCCCAACTTCCACACCACCCTTCCTTTTAGCTTATACTTGCTCCATCACCACAAACCTCTCATCCAGTCACCCACCGTGCCACCATCCCTCCCAACTTCCACACCACCCTTCCTTTTAGCTTATACTTGCTCCATCACCACAAACCTCTCATCCAGTCACCCACCGTGCCACCATCCCTCCCAACTTCCACACCACCCTTCCTTTTAGCTTATACTTGCTCCATCACCACAAACCTCTCATCAAGCCACCCATCGTGCCACCATCCCTCCCAACTTCCACACCAGCCTTCCTTTTATCTTATACTTGCTCCCATTATTTCTGAATTATTGTAAAAAGTTATTAAAATTTTATTGACATTGACCAGCCTTTGTTTCTGGAACTTCCTATTATATTAGGGCAAGAAGCAGCTGAAAGGTTCGGCTGAAATAAAATTAAATACAAACTTATGACTATCATGTAAATTTCTAATTCACTTGGTATTAAGTGTATTTCAAAACCATACTTCAATAAAAGCAAGGTAAGCTAGCTAATGAGAAAAAAGAATTCAGAGACTACAAAATGATTCCACATAAATTCTGAAATGAATGATCAAATGCATGTGTTTTCTAACACACCGGTAGATTTAGCTGTGGACCAACTTTCAATACAATGAAGGATTTTGAAAATATGAAGAAAATTTAGTTAATCAAATTGTTCTTAATAACAGAAACACATAAATTTCATTCATATAAATAAAACTTTGGAATGTAACAAGTCATAAACCTATTTGCAACCTTAATACAGGGGAGGTAATCCAAACATAAAAGGGAGACTACTCATAACCACTGCTTCAAGCCCTTTTGTTAGTTGATATAGTTGATAGATATCAGCATCCCCAAAACCCAGGTGTATGTGTTCCACAATCCATTCCACTCCTACTCCGGGACAACGATGAGGGTAACCTTCTGTCACTATATAACTCAACAATGAGGGTAACCTTCTGTCACTATATCTCAACAATGAGGGTCACCTCCTGTCACTATATAACTCAACAATGAGGGTAACCTTCTGTCACTATATAACTCAACAATGAGGGTAACCTTCTGTCACTATATAACTCAACAATGAGGGTCACCTTCTGTCACTATATAACTCAACAATGAGGGTCACCTTCTGTCACTATATAACTCAACAATGAGGGTAACCTTCTGTCACTATATAACTCAACAATGAGGGTCACCTTCTGTCACTTTATAACTCAACAATGAGGGTAACCTTCTGTCACTATATAACTCAACAATGAGGGTAACCTTCTGTCACTATATAACTCAACAATGAGGGTAACCTTCTGTCACTATATAACTCAACAATGAGGGTAACCTTCTGTCACTATATAACTTAACAATGAGGGTCACCTTCTGTCACTATATAACTCAACAATGAGGGTAACCTTCTGTCACTATATAACTCAACAATGAGGGTCACCTTCTGTCACTATATAACTCAACAATGAGGGTAACCTTCTGTCACTATATAACTCCTACAACACTCACTGAATCAGACATTTACAGATGGAACAGGCAAGGGGAATAACTCCTGTGACCTTCCATATCTTGACAGTCACATGATCACAAGGAGAAGGGAACATAAACTACCTCAGAAGAAAGTATTTCAAGTTCACTACTAAAAATAGTCGCTTCAAACATGTGTCAACAGCCAGCTTTTCCTTTTGAACCTGCTCTGAACTATTTAAAGTCAAGACATTTCCAAATGATTTGAGGTAAATGTGCATATTGCGATTTATATTGTATCGTGACCCATTTATCATTTCATCACTATCTTAACTGCACAGGGGAAATGTGTAAATCATGCACAGTCTCTCTTCAAGCCCCTGTATAGAAGTGGATGAAAGTTGAATTAAGAATGCCAACAGATGTCACTTTGTTAACGGGACACTCATGAAAAGAAGTACTCAGTAATTCCCAAGCTTACTGGCACCCCAAATTAATAGTAAATTAGATCTATTGTCAGTGTCTGAAGGTCACACAGGGTAATCCGCGAAGTGGACATGAAGCAAATTACGGATCATCTACACCTGAGTTTCAAGGATGAGCCAACGGATAAAATTTGCGAAAAGCCTAGATGTGGCAAAAAAACCAAACATATTTTCTTTAATTCTAAAGTGAAAGTAATAATAATAAGTGAAAAGACTTAAAAAGGTATGATATATATCATATTGAGACTTGATTATATTGTATACCTTGGATCACTGACAGAACTGAAAGACAAAGGTGGTGTTTATGTTGAAAATATATCAAGGAGTAAAACCGTATATATCTATAACCATCCTCCATGGTCTAGTGGATAGAGAATGTGCCCAGAGAGTGGAAGGTCGGTGGTTCAATCCCCAGCCATGTCAAGATGGTACTTGTTGTTACCCTGCCTGGCACTCAGCATCAAAGGGATAAAACAAGGACTTATCGGCTCAGAGTCAGTATACTGTGTCTGGGTGGGGTATCTATGTTAAACTGTGGCATGGTATCTCAACTGGCTAGCACTATAAATCCGGTTTATGTCCAGACCTATACATGTAGCCACAACCACACATAACTATATAAGTGCAATAATCTTGAATGCGATATTAATCCCCATTTCACGTTACCTCACAAATATCCATCACATAATAATCAGTGAGCAAAACAATTAATTGATATAGTTTAACATCATATCTGCAATATTCTAGCCATACAACATTAGGCATTGAGTGAAACAAATCAGGACACATGACACTGACCGAAGAAACTGACAAACACACTTTTAGTATAAAATGAATAGCAACCATATATCATGCAGTGAAATGATTTAATTTTATCATCCATGCCATCTTTGACAATTACATTGTGCTATCCATTTCCTAACTTGTATTTCACAACTGGGTGAATAGATTGTTGGTTTTGCCAATCTGTTCTTTTCACTGAGCCATTTATATTATTTTTCATCACTATTTTGCCTTTTTATGTCCAATGGAATGTGTCTGGGCAGATAATAAAGAAAGTGCTCTGGTATTTAATATTTACACAATAAATCCCTGGAGTTCTTATATTGATTCCCATATTTTCATGTGTACATTTTGCACTTGAGTATAATGCACACTTCCAATTCTTGGGTATAAATTTCGGGATAAAATGTTATTCCATACAAAGTGTGAGGTAAAAAACTACATCGTATTGCTTCAGCCTGAATAACTACTGAATGTATTTGTGCTCTTGGATAATGGTCTAATTTCCCTATTTTTCACAAGCTCTTTGATGTGCTGAATTTTCCGCTCCCTCCAGCATACTACAGTTTGCACCTTTACAATGAAGTTAATCATGGCAGAGAGTGTTTAGTCAACAACGATCAGTTCCACATGGAATAAGTCAACTATTGCCAGTGTAACTGTGTCATGGATAATGTTCCTTGTGAAAACTGTTCTATGGAATAATTCCCCAAGACAATACAGTTCAAAGGAACAATGTCACTACAGACAGACAGATTTAGTTTGTATAGATCTATGTGGCCATGAGGCCAATAGTACAATGACATTTTGTTGTAGGAAAATTCGTCATGGAGCACTACTTGTTTGTTGTAGCTGAACAGATGTACACAGTTTTATTTATATTCAATGTCATCCTTCTTTCAAATATCTTATAAACAAAAACTGCAAGTCTGAGAAGAATATGGCTATTTTTGCTGTTCATTAACTGTACAAATTTTCTTTGTGATGGATACGTATTATAATAGATAGGCAGGTATTTGATTCTTATATCTTCATATACTGGACATATTAATAAAACATGGTATTCGTTTTCTTGGTAATATTTGCAGTAAGGACACATCGATGTTAAAACATCATTATCTTTGGAATGTCTGTATAACTGTAGATTGAGGGTAGACATTAGGGCTGTTACGATTCACTCGCATATTCGGGGAATCGAACCGTATCCATTTATGAATTGAATTCGCTATTTGTGGCAACTAGAATCGAATATTTAAGAATATGCAATCATGTGCATTTACATACCCTGTACCTAAAAATACCCATTAGAACATATTATATGCATAGATTTCTTCAAAGACAACACTCTTATGATATTTGATTTGACAGTATTGTGGTCATGGGTCATTGTCGCATTTGTGAAGATACCTACCAGGATAAGTGCAGTATATAAATGTATAATATATTAATAATTAACAAACCATGTAAAATAATTTATGTTGTTACTTTTTCACTGAATATAAAATACTGAATCGTTTTCCCCTCGAAGTGTATTCGTTGCAGCCCTAGTAAACATCGTTGTTTAAACATTGTTAAGAACATAATTTTCATTTTATGACAATGGCACTACAGGCATTTAGTGATACACCAAACCTACAAAAGGAAGAGTTTTGCAAGGACTAGTTTTACAAGTCTAACAATTAGATCAATCAGCTAAGAAAGGCTCACACACTCCTAACTATTCTCACACAGTCAGCTGAGTCTTGTGTAGAAGGACCTTAAAGTCCATGTGCTTACCTCATTGTGCCAAACAGGTCCTTGAACATGTAGAGAACATAGAGTGGCTTTTCGTCATTGTCAATACCCCAAGGGGAATAGGCATAACTGAAACACAAAACTTGTTTGTCATAAATAATGCTTGTAAGATTTATGCCATAGTGGCTGCACTCAATATTGATAAATTATTAGGAATATATATTTCAATAGTGTTTGTCATTAAAGATGTTTGTGGTATGATTAGTTGTTGTGATTCTTTACCATCTTTTAACAGACAATATGGAACAAATCCCAGTTTTCATCCCAATGGGCCCCTGTCTACACCAGAATGTACCCCAGTCTCCATCCCAATGTACCCAGTCTCTGTCACAATGTGTCCCCGTTTCCCCTTTCGGTCAGTATAATTCTCATACATACGTGTTAAATTACGACTGGCATAGCTCAGGTCATTTGGTAGAATGTTTGTTTGTCGTTTAACGCCGCACTCAGCAATATTCCAGCTATATGAAGACGGTCTGTAAATAATCAAGTCTGGACCAGACAATCCAGTGATTGACATCATGAACATCGATCCACGCAATTGGGATCGATGACATACATCAACCAGGTCAGTAAGCCACTGATCCCGTTAGTCACCTCTTACAACAAGCATAGTCGCTTTTTACAGCAAGCATGGGTTGCTGAAGACCTATTCTTCCCCTGATCTTCACATTCGATAGAAATAGGCCCTGATTGTTCTTCAAAAGCACATGATTAAGGGATAACAAACTGGTGTGGTTCTAGCCTCTGAGTTCACCTTGTGATTGCATGCATGTCATGAGGTACTGGGCTGGAGCGCAGTGACATCATCTCCTCCTCAGAACACTGACTGTGGTAGGACAACACCTCCAGTGCCACCTTGTACTTCTGTTCTGACCGCCGAATCTTCTCATACAGCTGTGAATAAGAACATCAACTGATCTTAGTACGAGTGGAGCAGTTGAATGCGATAACTCCCAGGGTGCTGTTGTACAAAACAACCTTAGCGTCAAGATTGCCGTAAGTCTATGTTAAGGTATGGGAGTTACGATCACCTTTGCTCTAAGATCGCTTTGTACAACGGCACCCTGATCAACACAAATCACTTTGGATTTTGTTCTGTTATGTTAAGAAAACATATTTTTTTATATAAATATAAAGACTTCAAGTATTCCATTTGTATTCAGGATGAAGATGCATTATAAGTCAAGTCAGGGGAAAAATAACATGTTCAAACTTCCATCACCACTGACATCAAATTGAAAATATCAACATCAAGCCTTCCTTCACTCCTCCCTTCACTTTCCCAGTCCTTCCGTCACTCTTTTCCAAGTCCTTTTACATTTACCCAGTTCTTCCTTCACTTGCTCACTCCTCAACTTCTCAAGTTACCAACACTGTACTTTTGTTAAGTTTGCTAATGCCCTAATTCCGTTTCATTCACTGATTCCCTTCGTCTGTCATCCTTCACTCAATCACACTCCCTTCCGCTGCTCAGCCTCCCACGTCAACCATTACCTTTGCGTGATGCAGTGCCAGGCCACAGTAGATAGCAAAGGTCTCAAAGGCTTCCTCATCTGCCCTAGTGAATGGTCCACTCATCTTGTTGACCATCTGAACCACTCCGATGATGCTGAAACACCCACCATGCATCACTCAACTGGGGTGGATTAACCAGGTAACCTGACACTCAATATACAGGCGACAGCTATCTCGGACATACTGAACACCAAAAAGGTTTTGAGTATTTTGATAGATCGTATATTGTTTCAAATTTTTATGTCGATGTCAAAAACACCATCAGTCATAAAGAGTGAGAGAAACATTCCAGCTTAATCGCAACAACCTGTTAACAATTATGTCTGGGGCAGACAAACCAATGGTTGATTGCATGAGCCCCGATCAATATCATCTGGGTATGTTGAGACACAATCAGCAATAGCAACACACTGTAAACACCTGATTCTCATTAAAGTTGGTTCTTACAACAAGCATGGGGTACTGGTGAACTATTGACCAATAACTCTTAGCTCAGTTGGTACATTTGGTTAAACATATCTTGATACACAGTTCTACAGATTACACAGAATCGATCTGATTAGTTAGAGAAAAAATAAGTTATAACTACAAGTAATGTTTTCATGTCCGTCAGCAAAATAGACCGTCTCGGAAGTGGGTATTTTAAAAACTGACATTGCATTGATGAAAAGAACAGAATTCAATACCTGTAACAAGATATTTCAGTTGATAGAGACAATAGGATTCAAAGAAAGATGGTTTGGGGTACCCTCCTTTCTGTGGTACTGATTTGAAGGGACTTACTTCCCCCTGATGTAGATGGGCATACACAGTATGCTCTTGGTCCTGTAGCCAGTCTGTAGGTCTACGTCGCGGTTAAACCGGATGTCCCCATAGGCATCCTGGATGTTGAGAACCTCCCCAGTGGTGGCGACGTGGCCAGCCACGCCTTTGCCCATGGGGAATCTACATGCAGTAATATAGATCAGGTGTAAGAAAATGTACACCTCAGAAAGATTATATTTGAGACAAGCATTTTACTTGAAAACGATGAAAGACTAGAGATATTCAGTTTTTAAGAAATTTATCAAATCCATGAACAAGGCTTTAGTACCTTACTGACAGACCAAGGTTCATGACTGGGGCTATTTGGAGCTTCAATCTCATGATCATTGGATGCATAAAGTGCATGTGAAAAAGATCTGACTAAACCGTCCACTCACAAAATCAATCTTTGAACACACTCAATACCTCTGAGGTTTACTTACCATACTAGATCTCTAATCCCTGTGTCATGTGTAATCTGTCATACTTTCTTGGGCTTAACATCATCAACTTATGGGTGGTAATTCAAGCAAATGTGCACATGTTCCTGTTACACTTGACAGCAATGCGTCATTAACATACGTGACACTATCAGCAGCAGACCAGCCCATGTTTCAACTTTGATATATTTATGGGACCTGGGGGGGCATGGGTGGCCCAGTCGCCTAAGGCGGTGCGATTCGCTGTGCAGAGTTGCATCCCTTGGGCACTCAAGAAACCTATGATTGTGGGTTCAAATCACGATTCTCCCCGATTATGTTTCTAGGTTTGTCAGCACCATATCTGTGCTCACGGGTTTCACCGAAGTGGTAAATGTCTGAGACCTGCATCACTTTGAGCTTTCCTCCCACATTAAGCTGACACGCCGCGATATAACTGGAATACTTTTTAAAGCGGTGTTAAACCAAACTCATTAACTCACTCACTTATGGGACCTGGGTGCAACCTGGTTTTGTTTGGTCCAACTTGGTTTTCATGTCAACATGCATGTGGTGCAAGTTAAATCAAGTTCCTTAAATCGACCCTGCATATATTTGCAAATTTGAACATACTTGCATTGCAAGAACTGAACGAGAATGGCCTGGCATATTACCATATGATGCATACCCATCCCATGTCGGTGCTGCAGGGTCATTCACTATACATGTTCACAGCAGTCAAATTCACCCATTTCCTTTTCCAGTGGGTTTAAGGCTCCTATTTTAGCCATGTCCTGGCATGGATAAGCTTACTGAGAGAGGAGAGGCCACTTGAGACATTTTACAGGCATACATCCTGAATCAGACACAACTGATTTGGGGGATTTCTGCCTCCATTTTAACTTCGCAGTATAAGCAGACACATGAGAAAACATTACATGGGGACATTTGATGGATGTTGGAACCTGATTTAGTTCCTCTGTGTTCAGTAATGCAGCTAATATTATGATAATTTCAGTAAAGATCCAACCTTATTTCTTTCTGTGGTACATTTTCTTCACACTTTCCAGTATCAAATATTCGGGAGAAGAGTTCCTTGGTGCGGGAGTCGAGCATAAATAATGATGCCCGATCGGCATGCACAAGAGTTTTTGCAAAATTCTGCCAGAGGAAAAAGTTACCAAAACTTAAGTTATTTGACTTGAAATTGATGGAAATAACTAAATTCAAAAGTAGGCTAGAGACAACTGAACATAATCAGAGGAGGTAGCAAATAAGTTAAGGGCAAGACAACAAGCACACTAGACTATGGTTACCACAAACACTGGTGCAAACTCTTGTACAGGGAGTAGGCCTAGGGTTTCTGAAGATACAGTACAAGCTATGGATTGACTAAGGACAGCGCCATCTGGCTTGACTAAGGACAGCGCCATCTGGCTTGACTAAGGACAGCGCCATCTACCACAATCATCCACACGCCAAGGCTACAAGCATGTTCAGTATCTAAAGCATGGGTTACTGGGTTTGTCAAACATAAATGCACACAAATTAAGCTGATATCATTTGCACAAATGATATAATGAGTATGAAATATTTATATGGAAAAATATCTCAATGTAGTTTCAGAATCAAGAGCATGAGGATATACTTTAGTCATTTGATCAAATTCATTTTAATTTTTGAAAGGCAGAAAAGATTTGTGCCAATGAATCCTGTCAGTGGAGCTCTGGGACTTTAATGTCTTTGTTGAGATTCAGTCGAAGCACCAAATGGTAGAACTTGGCTTACATATAAACAAGATAACAGCACAAATGTAAGGACAAAATGGATTATTATCACTACAAAAAGACAATCAAATACTGATCACAAAAGAGGCTTTTTAAAAAAACAACATATGTCAAAGCAGCTGTAGGAACAAATGTTAACAGCAATATGACATACAGCTGTAAGTTTTGGAAGTTAGGTCAGACCGTTTAAAAGTCATTGTTTTACAATCAACCTCAGTACTTTGATACATGTTACTTTTGTAATATGGAGGGCATATTTATCTGTAAATCAAGAAAGAAACTGTCCTTCATTTCAAAAGATGGAATCGTACTACAAGATGTTGAAGTGCCAGATGTCCACTGATGCACTGGGCTGACCCAGTCACTCTAACCTGATTTCTTTCTGCTGACTACTTTCAGGTGAAGGAACACCCATAGTGCTCCCGACGTCAAAAATACGTGCAAATAACTCCTGCCGGTGGTGATCCAATAGGAACAGTGAAGCTCGATCCGCATTCACCAACTTTTGTGCAAAATTCTGTCACAACGGAACAAAATTGGGAATACTACAGGGTAAGAAAATAAAGCAAACCAACAAGGGGTGATTGATAAGTTCTCAGCCTCACATAGAAAGAATTATTCACAATCCATAGTCCTCTTCTACATTGATACACTTTTGCCCATGATGTTGGAGTTTCACAGACGTCCTTTGGCTGTCCAAAAAGCTATAGAGTCAAAATGGGTTCCGGATAGAGCTTTCTTCATGTTTGGGAACAGATTGAAGTCTGATGGAGCCAGATCAGGAGAATGAGTTGGGTGCTGAAGGAGTTTAAAGCAACACTCGTGAATTGTACCCACTGGCTTGTGCACTTGCCCATTGTCCTGGGGGAAGAGCACACGATTTCTCAGTTTTCCATGTTTCTTAGTCTCAATTTCATCCCATAATTGCCTCATAAGTCCAGCATAATATGCTCCATTTATTGTCTGGCCCTTTGGAAGATCCACCATGAAGACACCTTTGAACACAGGAGGCCATCTTTCCTGGTCATGAGACAGTCTTTGCCTTCTTTGGTGGTGGTGATGTCAAATCCTGCCACTATTTAGAATCTTGTTAGAACCGAGGGATCATTGATTGTCACAAATCGTTGAAAGAACCTTTCTGGTCAGCTTCAAACATAGCTAAATCACCACAAGACATGGTGTGAATGGTTGCATATTTGATCAGTTGACGCAAGTTATTCTAGATATACCCCTCTGACATCATGTCGCTTAGACATTTGTCCACAAGAAACGATTTCCCCATTGTTCAAATCCTTCTATGTGAGGCTCAGAGCTTATCAGTCAACCCTTGTATAAGCATGAGTGTCTAACATCCTAGAGTTGTGATTGTACCACAAAATAATCATTTGATTCAATAAGCCTTGGTAATTGAGGAAATGGGACTAAGGACATGAATATCATGTTCAGAGTTTGCTGAATTGATTTCTGTCAGCTGTATCTCAGGCTTAATGTCTTGCAGCTGTACTGCTATGACGCTGTAGCTCACCTGCTGACATTTACTTAAAGTCATGTGAACATCTTTAATGATAAACAAGTCACATACGCTAAATATTTAAAAACGAATGTGCTATTATTAACGTTTCATAAAAAGTAACAAATTTAACCTGCTCATCAAGTTTCAATCCCAATGGCAGCAGAAATACCAAAATTTGAATCATCGTCAAAGTAAAGATGCAATCAAAGTGAAACAATATTTCAAATGACTGACTGCATGGTACTCAGATGTCAAATCTAATTTACTTTACTTCAATGATGGTAACTGAATAGTCAAAGGGTTTTTAATATAACTGCCATTTTGAATACTTTATGAAAAACACCTGATCCAATTCAGGTACTATCCTTTGAATGAGTATTGTTTCACACTCTCCTTAGAAGTGTTCCAGCAATATCATGGTGGAGAAAAACCAGAAAGGAGCTACACACATCTAACCATGTGGGACATCGAGCCCAGGCATTTGGTGTGATCAGTGATTGCATTAAACCACTAGGTTATCTTATCGCCCATCCAATTGCCCTAAATGAAGCAGGTCTTGATTTTCAGGTTCTGAATCTCCCATCTCATATCTGAGTGTTTCTATCAACTTTATATTTTTTCAGAGACAAAGAGTTAGACTATTTCTGTGGGGGCCTGCTCTCATTATCTTTTGTTTGTTTGTTTGTTGTTTAACACCTCACTCGGCAATATTCCAGCTATATGACGGCGGTCTGTAAATAATTGAGTCTGGACCAGACAATCCAGTGATTGACATCATGAACATCGATGCACGCAACTGGGATCGATGACATGCATCAACCAAGTCAGCGAGCCTGACCACCCGATCCCTTTAGACGCTTCTTACGACAAGCATAGTCGCCTTTAACAGCAAGTATAGGTTGCTGAAGACCTATTCTACCCCAGATCTTCATGGGTCTCTCATTTCCCCTGGAATTATCTGAAGCTCTAGTGAATACCTTATTATGTTTAACATGCCAAAGATATGCTATACTCTACCTTTAAACATTAGAGGTCTTAGGAAAATGTATTATGATACAGTGAAACCTATCTAATCCATATGGTAATCCAGAAATCATCTGGATTAACAAATTTCCAGATTGACGAATCACTGATACAGTCCCTTAAAGAACATACAGATGTTCCTAATAGTAATCTTCTCGAGGACATGGTTTCCAGATTAACAGGTTCCAGACAAACAGGGTTTCATTGCATTCATTTGTTCATAGCCATCATCAATCTCCAAACGGTGACCACATCTTGTGATGAGGTGATGAATAGAGACACTGTAATCATTTGGGTACAAACACAAGTGATGAAAAGCAAAATGGTAAACTATTTGGTGAATAAAAGCCAGCTTCTACTCCGAAGTCTAACAATTGGGTAAACTAAAGATGGGGTAAACTTTCTACGTGACATAACATGACGAGTCAGGACATTGCAATGCAAAAAAAAGCTACTCATCTCTACAAGGATTTATGTTATGAAGCAAGCCAACAGAAAGATAATTATATATACTACTTTCAAAAGACACTGAAATCTACATAAGAAATAAGGTTTCCTGAAGGGCTCAAACATCAGTAAAACATAATCCAACAAAAAGAACAATATGTTTCATATATATCAATGAATGTCTCAGGAACCACAAGGCTCTGGAGCTCACCTTTCATGATAGAATGCATATGTTAACTGTCTTATATCAACTTTTCAGGCATTATTTTTAACAGCTGTACATGACTTATCCTAAGGTATACCAACTCTTTCATTTACTGACAATAATGTGCCTATGGTTTCTCATTTTACAAAAAGGATACTGTTAAACATTTTAATGTCTTTAGATATAAGGAGTTAACGAGTGCTTTTAGCAACATTTCAGCAATATCAGGGACACCAGAAAAGGGCTACACACTTTGCACCCATGTGGAGACTTGAACCCGGGTCTTAGGCGAGATGAGCGAACACCTTAACCACAAGGCTACCCAACCACCTTACCACAAAGTTATTACAAGTATTGTGATGAAATATTGAATGGTGCTTAAGTTGTAAACACCAAGGTAAGTTGAACATACACCCTGATTGATTCCATGAAAATCCCCCAAATAAGATTGAGAAAACGTAGTGCTTCATAACTAGTTTCACAACTAGTATGTGTGCAAAATTTGTAATAACGTACAATCTTTTTAAAATCAAATCTTTTACCCCGATCTAACAATACCACAATAGAATTTCAAGTCAGGTGAGGATTTTCCCACTTTAGCAAGCTAAGGAGTTGGATGCTGATTTGGGGTACTATTATGTACTATTATGTACTAGTTGTGTGAAGTTGACAGTAACACTTCTGTTGAAAATCTGAAGATTAGTTTTGGTGTGATTGCAGCCAAAATACAGGATTAATGGCAATGATGTAATAGAGGTAGAGTATTTGCAAGAATTACACCTTTTTTGGTCTAAATGGCAAGGCACTCAGAACCAACAGAATGTAGAAGATATCCACAACAATACAACAGTGCAGAGTTATGTTTAGGCATGTTGGAAATCATGATTATATTAGTTTTTGAGACACAGAAATCATATATGCTTGTGCCGAGAATTTAGTAGCCCCTATGCTGATTGGTGCATCAGCAAGTTCACTTGACGCCACCTCCTTATATGGAGGTGTCCTAAGATCTTCATATCAGGAAGAAAACGTATTAGAGTAATAGATCTGATTTTAATGAAATTGTGATAAAATTTCCATGGTCTTTGAGTTATGACTGATACAGATATTCTCATTGCTAGATTGCTAGATCCCAGGACTAAATGACAATTAATCACGCTATATGCACACCAAGACCTTAGGTCAAGGGGAGTTTCTCAACCAATCAGAAAATCCCTTCAGTTTCAATCACTGTGACAATGACACTTTTGAATTCATGTAAAGAATATTCATACTTTATCAATATTGTCATTTATAATATTCCTGAGACAACCAGGAATTACCAGTATCAAGAAATAAACACAAACATATTAGAAGTGACAACCTACCATTATTTTCATGATGACAGTATCCATGCTGATGATGTCTTGAAAAACGGACCTGTAGAAATCAGCATCGTCTTTTTACATATTTCAACATTACCACAGCATCGTCTTTTTACATATTTCAACATTACCAATCTTAAAGGTTATCTTCAACTCACAAAATACAGTGAGTGAGTGAGTGAGTGAGTGAGTGAGTGAGTGAGTGAGTGAGCGAGCATGTTTGGCTTAATGAACACTTGAAAAGTACTCATGACACAGGCACAAAAAATCCAAGGGCAGGGCTGTTGGGGCTGACAAATAAAGAATCATGTTTGGGCTGAAAGTTTGATTCAAACCCAATCTGCAGATCCTGGAATTGGTGAGGGACACACAGGAAATTGAGACAATTATACCTCTGGGCCTGGTGGGTCAGTGGGGACAGACAGTGAGTATATGTTAATGTTGGACCTATGTTTGGAGGTTTAGTGTAGACAGACAGTGAGTATATGCTGTTGTTGGACTTGTGTTTGGAGCTTTAGTGGGAACAGTGAGTATATGGCATTGTTGAAGTTATGTTTGGAGACTTAGTGTTGACAGACAGTGAGTATATGCTGTTGTTGGACTTGTGTTTGGAGGTTTAGTGGGAACAGTGAGTGTATGGCATTGTTGAACTTATGTTTGGAGGTTTAGTGTGGACAGACAGTGAGTATATGCTGTTGTTGGACTTACTTTGTGACTGTTAATAAAAACTCATTGAGTTTTCTTTGTTTTAACATACTGCTATGAACCTGCAAGAAAAAATATATAATTGATACATACATACCAGCAGCAGAAGGAAAAGGCATTCATGGTATTAATTATTAACTGCTGAACAAATGTTTACTTTCGTCATAGGTGTCTTCTAGATAAAGGCTTTAAATGATCCTTGATGTTAACATTCTTTCATAATAAGTTCATAAAACATATTACCATATTAAATTAAAATGTCCTATGTCATGGTCCTATAGTTGAATACTGTGATATGAAAACAATTCTCGGAAAGGAATACATTACTGTACAATTGTTAGTAAAAATGAAAATCACAAAAAAGATGTTAGAAGCATCTAACAGTACAACACAAATAGAGGTCTGTTAGCAAATGAACAGCAAGATACTTAATGCTAAAACAGAGATGACCAGTCATTACCATTATGGTCTAAAGCATTACCTGCCGTAGCACAATAAGGGGAGATAATCACATGAAGTACACAAAAGCATATCACACAATCACATCTTTGTTTACACAAATAGAAATATTTGTAAAATTTAATAAAAGAGTTTGCACAACAAACATTTAACAAACCATACTGTAAATTCAAAGTGTACAATACTCTTGTACATTCAAGGTCAATGCGGATCATGTTGCCATAGTTACAGGTTTAGTCAACAGAATTTCAAAACAATTTCCTAATCTGAAGTTTGTAAAAACAAACAATGACACACAAGTAGCTTATAAACACAAGTGGCAATAACACACAGTGGAATGTTTCGGCAGATAGTCAAGACTGAATATTCTCTGGCACTGTCATTTAATATTTTTCTGAAGACCTTTTCTAAACATATAATCTTAATAAACAAAAAAGTGAAAAACTGATTGTTTATACATTAAGTAGGTAAAATAATAATGAGCAAACAATGAATCAGCATTGGCCTCTGGTTGATGTGAATTCACAAAGACATGCACAGATACAACTACTCTGTTTGGGATACCTCTGTATAAAACAAAACCAGTCCACCCCAAGCTAGTATTCTCTCAGCACCCTGTAGGAACAGACACAGGTGAGGCTATAATGTCAGGCACAGACAAGAAGGAGGGGGAGGAGGAGGCAGAGGGACTTATCACAAACTCCCAGAGGCGGAGCCTAGGATTTTGAAAAAGGGTTTGGGCATGTAATACCAAAGTCAACGAAATGGCTTGGCCGAGGGTGCAGTTAACATGTAAAGTGTCTGGAAAAAGAGGGTGGAGGTGCGCAGCCCCTGCACCGCAACAATGCCAGTTAACTACAAACTCCATCATGGACAAAATTCAACATTAACACTGGGTGTCATTTCCAAATTTCCGAAACATTGTCTGACATTTCAAAAAAATATTTGTAACATTAACTTTTACTTCAATATGTAACTGAATTCATCATGCTGATATGGGTTGTTGTGATCTGAATGAAATCTGGAATTTAGCATTCAGCAGCAGCTGATGACGTCAGTCAAGGAAATGTGTTTAGTGGTTTAAAATTCAAAAAGGCACACTAGCAACATTACAGCCATATTGTGTGGAATTGGTTTAAACAGACTGTACATATCTTTGGTGAAGTAAGGATTGGGGCCTACGGACTACAGATCATAATCAGGGAGAATCTAGGATTTGGAACCCGCCACCAACAAATCCTGGTATAACTAAGGGAGGCAACTATTTATCCCCCTTAACAGGAGAAAATATTTTCTGATGATTGTGGTTAAAATTACCAACAGGTATTTGTCCTATTCCAAATTCAATTTTATAATGACATTACTAATTAGTATATAATAATTAATAAGCACACATAATACACACACCTTCAAAATTATAAAATATTTTATGGTCACTAAACCGTGTTCTGACTGTGTCAAACTAGGAACACTGTCCTCTACAGAACAAGTCTAGCTAGAGAGTAGATAAAATGATAAGCTTGTCAGGCCTCTACCTGTGACACTACGGTAAGATATATAAAAATCTGTTAAAGCTGAGGGGTGGAAGGGGAACAGGGTGGCGTTAGCAGGCTGCAAGTGTTAGTCAGGAGTCTACATTTTCAGACCATCCCTTAGCCGATATGCTTCAGACCCAGCAACAACAAATACCTTAGATCCTTCAAACATATTTGTGACTATTATTTGCACCTTTTGTTTTAGTAATGAAAGACTACATGAATAAATCATAAAAATATTGCAAAATAGATTCAAAAGTTCTGACTGATTTCTTTTATGATCACAAAATCTGTATAACTAAGTTTCTGTGATTATTATCCATATAGCTAAATTTTTTATGAAATATGACTTGAGTTGAAGATTTAGCCATCCAATCTCATAAACTTCTCTTTTACATCAGATTCCCATCCTCTCTCCATCAACTCCGGACAAACCAGTAAATAAGAGGTCATTACAGGTGAAGTTTCTAGTCTGGCAAGCAGATCGGAAGCTACAAAACTCTCAGTACAAATAAGCAAACCATTTGGAATGTGAACAAATGAACATAATTGGGCAGTTCTGGATGGAGAAAATAATGACCCAATGTTGTTGATATTTTCATCCTATAGTTTCAGTCTTGTATTTTTAATCAGCTTCATTAGAAGTTCTTTTTGCTGTGGTTTCATTTCTCTTTTACCCAACTTTGATCAAATTGCAAATTGCTGTCCCACGATACCAAAGTGTTTGAAAACCCTGGCCTGTAGGACCTGTGTCACCAAATTTTCACATGAGAATTTTGCTCAACACCTCCACCTGTTGTCCAACATCTACATACATACAGAGTAGACCTGTGAAGATCCAGGGTAGAATAGGTCTTCAGCAACCCATGCTTGATTATTCGCCATCATATAGCTGGAATATTGCTGAGTGTGGCGTCAAACAACAATAAACAAGCATACAGAGTAGCTGTGAAACTGAATTTTAAATCAATATAATCTTAGATCCATATGTTTTGATTAATAATATGTTTTTGTCTTGCGTGAAGATTCTGAATCAGTGCCATTGATAACATGGGACAACCTATGGGCTTCAAAACACCAGGGGGGACGGGTCAATGTTTGCTCAGGGCTGATGATCTCCTGTCAAGGGTTTGTCAGATCAGGATGGAGAGAGGTACAGAATCAAGTGTTTTATATACATATATATTTAACAAGACTGAGCTGTGGCAAGGAATTTGACTGAGAAAGTACTACAGAATGTTGGTAGGTCTGATTGCTAGGGTGAGATGAAGGCAAAGATGGTAATATGTAAGCCTGGTTTAGGATCTGGATTATATGGTTTACCTCAACATAATCTACTAGCATATCTGCCCACATTAGAAGAAGGATTGACACCTACAAAATGAACATTGTCACATGACAGTAAATGTGTGCCTCAGTATTTCAACTTTTCACAGAAGTCATTAACTTACAGATCTCGTGGATCATATACATCTGACTGCAAGTCATTGAGTGCCAAGTGTAGGCAAACATACAAGTGGCATGAAGAATGCTCTCCACAGGCAGGGATGATAATAACACAAATGCTAACTACACGATCTCATTTCAATCAGCTTTTACTCAAACATTGGGCAAAGGGGACCTCACTGGGTCAACATCTAGACTTATTCTAAAGAATGATATCATAGGGCAACAAAATCAAAACAGCAGATATTTAAAATGTGAATTTCAATGAGACTTAAGATGCACTTAATTGAATTCATAAATTTAACAATTTCAACCATTTTTCAGTATCAAACGGACAAAATTCATGCCCTACAAAACTAATATCTTACCTCTTCTTCTTCTTCTGTAAATGACGTATATTTAAAGTTTCTGTAAAATTCTACTACACCTGAAACCAAGTTATTTCATGTTACTTTGCTTGCTAAACTAAATGAGGACAATGACAATGAGGATTTAAAGACAAAGGAGTATTTGTAATTTTGATGTTACTCTCATTCAAAGTAGTCCAGGTTAAACAAGTTTTTCTCAAACTAATGAAACAAGTATCATAAACAATGTCATATATTGTAATCACTGTCATGGTGGGTCCCTGGAGTGAACTATCCACTGAGTGAGTGAGTGGTTTTATGCTGCTTTTGTCAATATTCCAGCAGTGGTGATGATACAGGTTAAGGATGTCTTGGACCTTACAAAGGTCAATCAGCTCCCTCAGATGCATCTTCCTGAGGCAAGGGAATTAACTGACTGTAAAAGTCCAGTTTCCACCCTTGCAAAGCTACCTCCCTTGTCTCGGTAAAATGCCTCAGATGTTACAATTCACTCTTCAGAGTGCATCCCTCAGTCATACAAGGTTCTGCTGATCACTGGTTTGAATACAAGATTCACTCTGATTATGATCCTTGGTCAGATCCATTTCAGTGAATAGGGCTTTTAAAAAATGGTAAATGCCTGTGTCCCAATTGTCTCTAACACATTGGACTTTCCATGACAAGCTGTGATACAATTAAAATACTGTTCAAAGCAGGTCTAAACAAAACTCACATCAATATGCAAAACAGTTATCATAAAGTATTTATTATAACAGTTAGATAGTTTAAATCCACTATAAACAAAACTGTGAGTATTTAATAAGTAGTATCTGATCTTCAATCTCAGACTCTGTGGGGCAGTGGACAGCCTTGTGGTCATATTGCTGGAATATTTGCTAAAAGCGGTGTAAAACCCAACATTAGTGAATGAAGCACCCTTTAAATATCTATTCAATCTCTTGTTATACGTTGTTATACAGTCATCATACATTACATCAAGTAATACAAAAAGTATACTAGAATGAATAAAAAGTACGAGAACATTTTTAAAGGAAGAATTTATTTGCCACAATAAATAAATAAATTCAAAGTTTTTAGATGATTCATGCAACTTCATGATTTGAAAATTTAGTCCTTAAATTCTTTCCAAAGTCACAAATTCTAGATGTTGACTGAAGCAACGAGATACTGATTGAACGGTAGTGATTAAACAACAGACAAGGCCTCTTATTACCTAATAAGGACCCCCTGCCATCCTGCAGTGGCAGGGCTAGCACTGAATGAACCTTGATATTGCCGTGTCCCAAACCCTCAGGGAACCGACCGTCCTGAAACATAGTGACACAACATATATCTTATTACAACACTCTAAAACCAATATAAACATCATAGCATTTGGAAAATAGTCACTTTGTAGTCCGGAGTCCACTGTAATGTAAGTTATGTCGATCATGGTGACCTGATAGAATCGAGTCTGGACCAGGCAAACCAGAAATTGAAAGCATGAGCAGTGAACTGCATCATCAGGGCTAAAATTTGCAACAGTAAATCAGCAGTGGCTGAGTCCTACCACCCTATCCAACTTCGTCACCTAATACGACAACCTGTAGTGCTTGGGATCCATTTTAACCCTGGGGCCCATTATGTTACAGAGACAAAAAACAGATATATAATCTGAACCATCTGCCCACTACAATGTCAACTGCCTCATCACGTAGAGAGTTATCTGCCCACTTAAATGTCCACTGTCTCATAGGAAGAGATTTATCTGCCCACTAAAACATATGATGTCTCATCAGGTAGAGAGTTATCTGCCCACTAATTTATCCAGTGCCTCATAGGAAGAGAGTTATCTGCCCACTAAAACATATGATGTCCCATCAGGTAGAGAGTTATCTGCCCACTAAAATGTCCACTGCATCATCACAAACAGAGTTGTCTGCCCACTAAATCATTCGCTTTATAGTGTAAAAAGAACTTCAACTCGCAGTCCAGTGTCACTTTGTACATCCATGACCTGTTTTCAATGTGAGAATTTGTTTGAAGCACCCCACAAATATCAGAACCATTTACTTCTTCATCAACAGTTATGCTTCCTTTGATTATCAATGAAAACACATTATCTGGAGTAATTAGTCTTCCAACTGTCTGGGTTTTTACAAGATGGTGACTTGCCACATAGCATGATTTTCTGATGAGTATGATCAATCATCTAACTCAATATACCAACTAAATGAAGTTAAAGTTTAACAAAGATGTTTCACTTTGTGGCATATTAAATATTAGACCAGACCAATTTTTTTCGTGTATTACAGATCTGCTGAATGGATGTTTTGCCTGATTTAAAAAACAAATCGCTGAAAATTATTAAAAAATATAACTGCCGACAACACTAACATATTCTCAATGGAAGGGAAGCAACTCTTACGCAATTTTCACTTGCCATCAGCACAAGTGTAAATAATATCATTTGATGACTGCTGCAACATACAGCCATACAAATTTCATTTTGGCACCAGACACGTAAAAACAAAATAAAACACTTCCATGTCTCATTACAGTGATATTTCCCAATGAGCTACTGGCCCAGCACAGTGTACTTACCCCATGCGGATCCTTTAACCTGACTGTTTCCTGTGTGTGTGCTACATGTGCTGCTACTGTCGTCCCCAGACAGATCCGGTCGCCATTACTCGGACCACTACTGGACATCGGCTTACTACTGCAGTAACACATACCATTGGTAGAGAAGTCATATGGCGAAAAAAACATTTGTTTCTTTTGTTTGTAGCTTAAAACTGCATTCAGCAATATTTCAGCTGCATGAATGGCGGTCTGTACGTAATCAAGTCTGACCAGACAATTCTGTGATTCACATCATGAACATCGATTGATGCACAATGGGATACGACGACATGCAAATTACAGAGCCTGACCACCAGATTCATTTCGCCATATCTTATGACAAGTATAGGTTGCTAATATTCTTACCCAGAATCACCACAGGTAACAAAAAGCCATACTACTATATGTGACCTTGATATAACATCAGATTAGTACATGTTCTATCATCTTAATGTTTTGTGTTACTTTGGCACTACAACTTTCTATGTAACTCATAGGAAATATGACAACCATATCACCATAAAATAAACTTACCTGGCACTGAATTTTGAACACATCAGAAATGAAATTTTTAGCAACACGTCACATTAAAATATAATACAATCATTTCTAAATTCTACATAATCATTGCAACGAGTTTGTTTCTAATAGCAAGAATGACAACTCACCATAATGTGAGTATAATAAATAAATTATTTTTTTACATAATTTTCTGACAAAAGATCATTTAAGCTTTTCTCACCTGTTAACATTTGGCACGTACATCACTTCCTGCAACAGAAAACTGAATGTGATGCGGACTGTGAACACAGGACTCAAACATATGTTGGTGAAATTCTAACCAGAATCATTTTCTTATTTGTGCTGAGCAGGACTTCATAATGTGATCTCATGATGATACATCGTGAGCGGCTAATGAGACTGTGAAATCAATTAATTAACATGTATGCCCTTGTGTGTGTGTGCATGATTATCTGAGTGAGTGAGTGAGTGAGTGAGTGAGAGTGAGTGAGTGAGTGAGCCTGGTTTTATGCTGCTTTTAGCAATATTCCAGCAATATCACGGCGGGGGACATGTGTATGGGTGTGTGTCTGTCTGTTAGAATGTACTACTCACCTCGACAACCATGTTTTAATGTTTTACACACAGGTTTGTATGTGCCATTGTAAAAAAGAGGCATTTCTATTGTCATGAATACCTAAATGAATTTTTGTTGTTGTTGTTTTATCAGCAACTCATTAACTATCTGTTTTTTTTATTTGACTAAAATGCTTTTTTTGTTTTTTACCCTACTGCCTCAAAGAACTTAATGCTAAACTATTCAAAAACATACTGAGTCATATACAAATATCTTTTTGACTATTGAAGCTAACTGGTCACAATAGAAAAATAAAACTGCTGCTGGGACAATGATTAAATTTTGTTGGGAAAAATTTGCAACAAGCTGAACGTCTGAATCCTAAAATGAAGAGACCTTTCCCTGCACATATCTGCATGAACATGTATGTAAACAGTGTGTCTCCAGATTACAACAAAATGCACAGTGGGAAAGTACATGGTAAGATTAGAGCACCGCATGTGATTGTCTCACACAGATACCACCCCTACGTGATGACCGACATAGTCCATAGTGAGATTAAACATCAACATTATCACAAGATCCTGAGAATGTGGGCATACGCTACAACATGTACAATAGTTATCTCTAGACCACACCGATCTATGGAAGCACACACTAGCCATTTGTAACTCACGACTCGGCTTGTGGGTTATTAGGTTTGTTGACAAGGATGTCGGTTATTTGACAAATAAACCATTAGTTGGAGTTGCTTATCGTACAATAAAACACTGCTGGGAGAATAAACCATTAGTTGGAGTTGCTTATCGTACAATAAAACACTGCTGGGAGAATAAACCACGAGGGGCGCACCTCAGAGTGGTTTATTCTCCCTGCAGTGTCATTTATTTCTTATATGAGATTTCAACATTATATTCAGCCTCTTTAAGGATGATGATAAAATGCACAAGCTTAAAAAATATTTACCTGTTTTTTAATAATGATGACTCCCTCAATAGAATCCGATTTCGGCAATTTTGGACAAGTCCATTTTATGCACAGGTGAATATTTCCCGCATATTCTCACAATCTGCACCCTCATGGTTTATTTTCCCTGCAGTGTTTTATGGTATGATACACAACTCCAACTTGTTTTTTTTTCCTTAACTGAAGGGGATTTAATCAAATACTTATAAATGCAGCTACTAGTGAGGTTTTCTGGCAGTTGATGAGTTAATCCAGCAATATCATGGAGAGACACAAGGAGTCAGATCCACACTGTGTTCCCATGTAGGGAATCGCACATGAATTTTTTTCGTGATGAGCGAACACTTTAACGACTAGGCTACCTCATTTTTAACAAAAATTAAATATTGAATTTCTATAGCACACTTTCCAATTTATAACTGGTCAAATGCAGTTAGACTATGAGAGACTACATTATTATCCCAGTCAATGGTTCGTGTGCACTCGATTTTCATTCTCAGCTCCCTAGGGAGTATACAATCCAAGCAGCCTATCAACAGGCTTAACAGTCACATTATCATGTCATCCTACCAGGTACCCATTCACTGCTGGGTGAACAGAGGCATATATTACATTTGCCTAAAGATACTTCACACGTGCTACATGAAAGAGTCAAGCTAATCAACATGATCACTGATCCAACCATCTCTTGTCATGTCCAGCAGAACAAAGTCTGCAATGTTCAATCCCACATGAAGTTCTAGCTGCTACCGACTTTATAGCCATTGCCAACTTTAGACCAATGATTCTGGGGTTCTGATTCAATATCCACCAAAGAACCTGAATGACTTGTTTGTTTGTTGTTTAACGTTGAAATCAGCAATATTCCAGCTATATGATGGCAGTCTGTATATCATTGAGTCTGAACGAGACAATCCAGTGATTGACATCATGAGTATCAATCCACGCAATTGGGAAGTGATGACATGCATCAACCAAGTCAGCAAGCCTGACCACCCAATCCCGTTAGTCGCCTCTTACGACAAGTATGGGTTGCTTAAGGCCAATTCTAACCCGGAATCTTTACGGGACTGAACCTGAGTGAAGAGTCATTAAATAAACATTTTGTGTCACTGGTTCTCTGGGTTAAACAAGTTCGCAATAGGTGGTCCCCTGAACACACCTGAGTAGACGGAACAGTTGAGTCATACCTGGATTAAATCGTGACATACAATTGAATGTGACATTATATTCACAGTGAAGCATGAGCACACAGAGCAGGTGCCATCCTCACCTTTCCCCCCAAAACTGACAGGTCGACCTGAAAGATACCCCATGATCACTCAGTTATGAACATCTGGTGATGTTACTGTCAGTGCTGAGGAATTCAGTTGCGGTCCTTAATGGGCTTTATTTGTAAACTGTCATTCAAGGTATGACACACACTGCTCAAAACAAGTTAAAGAACACCAGATTTGGAAGGTTGTGAGGTGCAATACCCACCAGAGATGATAGATTAACTGTAGTCATATGTAAAAATGTCATTCCTGACTGGTGTAGTGAGTGAGTAAGTAGCTTTTAACTGTATTCCACTTGTATGGCGGCGTGTCAGCTTAATGTGGGAGGAAAGCTTGAAGTGATGCAAGTCTCAGACGTTTACCACTTCGGTGAAACCCACGAGCACAGGTATGGTGCTGACAAACCTAGAAACATAATCGTGGGATTCAAACCCACAATCATAGGTTTCTGGCATGCCCAAGGGATGGAACTCTGCACAGCGAATCGTGGTGCCTTAGACGACTGGACCACCTGTGCCCCCTTACCTGGTGTAAAGTTTGGTCACAAATGTCAAATGATCCACCTGACCAGGTTCTCACTCTGGTCACCAGTATTCCTCCTAAAGCCGACAGCGCCTCTGTGGTCCAGTGGTAGATCATTCGCCCTTTTTCGTATCAAAATTGCCCATGATTTAGAAAGATTTAGAAGTGCTTAGTTAGGAGATAAAGATAATGTGTATTCAACTTTTCAGGTTTATTGTATGTTCAATATTAAAACTTCTGCCTCTGTAGCCTGGTGGTAGAGTGTCTGCCGGGAGAGCGGAAGGTCTGGGGTTCAATCCCCGGATGTGTCATACCTAAAGATGTTAAAAGATGGTATTTGTTACCCTGCCTGGCAATCGGCATCAAGGGGCTAAAACAAGGACTGGTCGGCTTGGAGTCAGTATGCTGTGTCTGTGTGAGGTATTCATGTTAAACTGCAGCATGGTATCTCAGTGGTCAGGCACCATAGAATTGGCATAAGACTGGACTAGTACAAGCAACCACATACACAAATGCATGCACATCGCTAAAAAAGTGCAATAACCGTGAAAGCCATGTTAAACGCCATTTCACCTCAACCACATCCTATTTAAGCCTGATGCCAGAACATAAATGTTTCAACCTTATTGGAGTTAAATGGATCTCATCAAAGCCTACTGCTGAACAGGCTTACGAAAACTCACGACCTGACAACTGAACCTGCAGATCTTGCATAATCTGTTCTGTCAATAACAGCAGCAGGGGTGGGAGGATTTCACATGGACCAGTCTGTTGTGTGTTTGCTACCTCACATGATTGAGAAACCCATTTTCTTAATTCAGTATTTGACGTTTCTGTTACTTACTAGGATGGTGTTCTGTGCGACAAACAAACGGTTCCAACAAAATCTATAACTAATATCTAAGCAGTTGAAGACATTTAATCCCTTACAATAAATTAAGTAATATGAACAGCTACAGTGACTGAAGAGTCAAAGCTGCACATTGAGAATACATGTGGAGCATCGACTCCTCGTGCACCTTGTCACTGCCCACCTCGGGGCTGTTGGGTAGCCTAGTGGTTAAAGCGTTTCCTTATCACGCTGAAGACACAGGATCGATTCCTTACACGGGTACAACGTGTGAAGCCCATTTCTGGTGTCCCCGCCGTGATATTACTGGAATATTCAACAGTTAAAAGCGGCATATTTAAACCATACTCACCTCAGACCCCTGCTCAGTGGAACTTAATTTTTCCATTATTGTACAATTCCATATTGTATTAAGTACAAAATATCATTCAGTATGCAGGTTAAGGATAAATCACGACTCTGAGGTTTTGGTTGAAAATGTAAAACCACAAGCAAGGGAAAAGCCAAAGCCACGAGCTCGAGATTTTACCTATGTGGTAATCGGGCCTTCAGTGTGACGAGTAAACACTTTAACCACTAGGCTACCTAACCGCGCCATAGCGTAAGCAATCTAAGTGTTCGCACACAGTTTAAAAAATAAAACATTTCATTCCTGAAAAAAGTTCCTTATCTCAAATATAATTATTTTGCACCTGGAATGAAGAGGTCATGAAATGAGTACTGCAATCTTCTTACCCTTTTGTTTTCATCCACAATATAAAGATTATATCCATCTGCATTGATCGCTGAAATAAAAAAACGAAACATTATAACACAAACAACACACAGTTCACACAGGAGAACATTGTAATTCCAATTAAGGCTGAGCATATACAAACACAATTTCAGGAAAGTTTTCTGGTTATTGATCTAAGTATTTTACCCATAGAAACAGACACTAGTATGTTTTGATTATGGTCATGGTCTAAGTATGTTTCCTTGGTCATGGTCTAATCATGTTTCCTAGGTCATGATCCAAGTATGTTTCCTTGGTCATGGTCTAATCATGTTTCCTTGTTCATGGTCTAGGTATGTTTCCTTGTTCATGGTCTTAGTATGTTTCCTTGTTCATGGTCTAATCATGCTTCCTTATTCATGATCTAAGTATGTTTCCTTGTTCATGATCTAAACATGTTTCCTTGGTCATGGTCTAAACATGTTTCCTTGGTCATGGTCTAAGTATGTTTCCTTGGTCATGGTCTAAGTATGTTTCCTTGGTCATGGTCTAAGTATGTTTCCTTGGTCATGGTCTAAACATGTTTCCTTGGTCATGGTCTAAGTATGTTTCCTTGTTCATGGTCTAAACATGTTTTCTTATTCATGGTCTAAGTATGTTCTCAAGGAAATGGTCTTAGTATGCTTTCACGATAATGGTCTAAGTATGTTCTCAAGGTAATGGTCTATGTAAGTTTTTCACGACAATGGCCTGAGTATGTTCTCAAGGTAATGGTCTAAGTAAGTTTTTCACGACAATGGCCTGAGTATGTTTTCAAGGAAATGGTCTAAGTATGCTTTCACGATAATGGTCTAAGAATGTTCTAAAGGTAATGGTCTAAGAATGTTTCTGTGCAATATTTGCTGCCTACCGTACCTGAACACACACAGCCAGCCAGCTCGTGCAGGATAATGGCTTTCCCATTGGGCTGGTAAACCTCCCTGGCTAACTCCTGTAGCACTCGACCACGGCTCGACTGAATTCGGGACTGAAGTGAAATTCATTCACATTGAATTAAATCATACAGTCAGCTTGACATGCTTCTATTATCACAAGTTACTTATGAATATGGAAAGCGTCTTGTCGCTTTCTTTTTTCCAAATGTTCAAACATTATTATCATCCTGACATGCTTTGACTGACACTGTTTGTTGTTTAACTCACTTTAACACATACTCATCAATGTTCCATCTATATTATGTAAATAATAATCAGGTTTGAACCAGACATCATGAGCATCAATTACTCAATTTGGATATGATGACATGCATCAACCAAGTCAGTGAGTCCGACCACCTGATCCCGTTAGTCGCCTCTTATGACAAGCGTAAGTTGCTGAAGATCAATTCTAACCCAGATCTAACTGACATTACAAAACACCTATTTGGTATTTATGAATGACTATAAGAGTGAAACCCTACTGTCAGTTGTGACGCCATCATCGCTGAATACATTTGTTTGTTCGTTGTTTGACGGCACTCTCTGCAATTTCCATCTATATGAGGATGGTCTGTCAATAAGTAAGTCTGGACCAGACAATCCAATGATTGGAATTGTCAGCAACCCATCAAATCTAATGAAATTAATAAGCACAGAAGATATCTTCCAAACACAGATGTTTCTAATGCTATATTAATAGTTAATTTCCTACCTTCCACTTTGAAAGACTTGATTTATTATCACCATGGTTTTCACCTGAAAGAAAATATCAGGAATAAAGTTCAGGTTATGAAAAATACACCAAAAAAGAGTCATACTACACATTTAGGACTGATATTCTTTGTTCTCCGGCACAGTGAGTTTTTTTCCACATCAGTCACCACCAACAAGGCACTTTGTAACAAGCTGTTTGTGTTGGTCAGTTTTGTGGAAAAAATAAAGGCTAAGTCCTTTTAGTTTACAGCAATACATTGATGTAAACAAACATATGTCAGAAAAGGCTTGGTTATCTTGTTTACAGTGAACAGAAGCTATGCACCCTGGGGTACAATCCATTTCATCAATCACTTTCTACAAAATTAACATTTACTTTTATGGTGGTCAGACAAATAATTAATATTTTCAGATCCTGAATTTTGAACCTGTTCCCAAACCATCTCCTCCTTCAACCAAAGACACCCCCACCGCCTTCCGCCATCCTTCCCCGAAAGACACAACCCAACTTCCTTCCCCCCCCCCCCCCGACACACACACACACATCTCCCATTTGAAACAAAATCGCCCATAATGATGTATCAATACTCCAGAGCTTTCCTTTCGTTTCATGAAGCACACAATAAGCTAATGGAGCTCAATCTAAACAGAATGGGAGTGCCCAGTCACTGTTGTCACACAATATGTCACAGATGACACACGCTAATGATGATTGTTTGTTTGTTTGCTTATTGTTTAAAGCTGCACTGAGCAATATTACAGCTAAGATGACGTCGGTCAGTAAATAATGGACCAGACAATCCAGGAATTGACATCATGAGAATCTATCCAAGCAATTGGGATCGATGACATGCACCAACCAAGTCAGCGAGTCTGACCACCCGATCCTGTTAGTTGCCTCTTACTACAAGCTGTTGGAAAGCAGAATGATGGATCTGAGGGAGTTCAAGCAAATACGTAATGAGGCCTGAATCCAAATTCCATACTTAATTATGTAAAAATTGACTTTAATATTTTTTGTTTGTGTTTTATGAGGTACAAATGTAAAAAAACTTTGCATACTGTGTATATATGTGTCATACCTAAATATGTTAAAAGATGGAAATTGTTGTTACCCTGCCTGGCATTTGTCATTAATGGGATAAAACTGGTCAGCTCAGAGTGAGTGTACTGTGTATGAATGGGGTGTCCATGTTCATCTGTGACATGGTATCTCAATAGGTTGAAACTAAGCACTATAAAACTGACATGAGTCTGGATGGGTACAAACAGCCACACGCACGTTGCCATACAGTGTGCAATAATCTTGAATGCAACATCAAACCCAATTTTCACAAACAACACCAACAAGGCTTCTCACCACAATGGATGAGAACATAATCTCTCCATAAGGTCATGTACACATTGTTATTCATGGTTTATAGATTCTTTTCTGATTATTTTTATCAGAGAAGGTTTTGTTCTCTTTATAGGTGCTCCTCAGTGGACAGATATGGCATATATACAAGGGGTGGATGTTCTGAGCCCAACAATGATGGACTGTGTTGATGGATCGAGTTGGTTGCCAGTATCTTTTCAACATAATCCCATCTGAGGTCCATACACTTCTACCATCAATGCTGGAGTGCCTGGACTCCATTGGTGGAGAAGGTTCCTCCTGGTGGTGTTAAGTCCTCTACAGCAGAAATGACATCACCATTTGCATAATGCTTGCCAGACATTGCTACCTTCATGTTTGGGAAGAGGTGGAAATCTGACCAAGCCAGATATGGCGAATACAGACTTGTGCACAGGTGCAACAATTTTAATGAATTTTCCCATGCAATTAACTGTTTCTGATCATGAGTCAGAAGCCTTGGAACCCAGTGTGCTGAAACCTTTGTCATGCCATTTATGCCTCAGAACGCTCTTCACTCTCTCATGAGAGATGCCCACTGTATTGGCTGTCAGTGGTCGATTATCCATAATCATATCATGTCTTTGTCAACACTTTCCTCAGTGGAAGCAGTCGAAGGTCTTCCAGATCTTGGACCATCTTCAAGCCTCACTCTACCCTTCTTGAACTCTGCTGCCCACCTCCTAACAGAAGCAAAGGAAGGAGCATCATTCATGATGTCCGGCGCATCAACATGCATGGATGCTTAAGAAGTCAGCCCTTTCAGTTGGAGATACTTGATGACAGTGCTCAGGAGCCAATTTTGTCCATTTTCATCAACAAGGAGTGAGTGAGTGAATATGGTTTTACGCCACTTTTAGCAATATTCCAGCAATATCATGGCTGGGGACACCAGAAATGGGCTTCACACATTGTACCCATGTGGCATATTGAACCCGGGTCTTCTGCATGACTTGCGAGCGCTTTAACCACTAGGCTACCCGACCGCCCTATTAACACGGAACTCAGGTCACATTAATGCTTGCGGAAATAGGCTGCCTGGTTGTGTGTTGGGTTCAAATGCAGGATGTAAACATGGAAGTGTTGTACTCAGTACTTACTACATGCAACTGTTAAGGGAGCACTTTACATCCTGTGTGACCTATGAAAATTCCAGGGTAGAATAAGTCTTCAGCAGCCCATGCTTGTCGTAAAAAGCGACTAACAGGATCGGGTTGTCAGGCTCGCTGACTTGGTTGATGCATGTCATCGATCCCAATTGCGTGGATCAATGCTCATTATATTAATCACTGGATTTTTCTGGTCCAGACTTGATTATTTACAGACTGCCGTCATATAGCTGGAATATTGCTGAGTGCGGCGTTAAACAACAAACCAACCAACCAACAACATCCTGTGTAGTTCACAACTATTCACCAACCTGCGTACAGTGTATTTTGACAAGTTTCACCTGAAGGGTTAACAATTATACTTTCTTTTCTATTTTTTCAGCTGAATATTTTTACTATTTTTGGTTGGGCAAAAACAAATAAACAGTAATAAAAATTTTTTGTGTGTGATTTTTATCTCCTGTCGAAACAATAAACAAAACTCCCATGTGTTGTCATGTGACAAGCTGGGCATGTCATGTGACTAGTTTGGCACGACAAGCTGTATAGGAGCATGGTTTTACATTGCTGATAGCATTAATCCATATGATAGTGCGTGCGTGCGAGAGAGAGAGAGAGAGAGAGAGAGAGAGAGAGAAGGGATAGTGCAGTGAGATAGTGATTAAGTGTGTGTGCATGACAGTGTGCGTGTTAGTGTGGGTGTGTATGTGTGAATGCATATGTGTGTGGGTGTGGAATCAAACCTGAGTTGTTGGCATGACGAAGCAAGGCTTTAACCACTCACCCACCCCACCGCCTCTTAGATGAATATGAAACATGGGACATTCTCCAAGCTTGCTCACCTGGAACATACTTATATCAAGCACCTGCATGACAAACTCAGTACAGTAGAAAGTGAGCAAATCAAATTATTGGCTCACAATTTCCTTATCAACTGGAGTGTGCAAACTCATGTAGCCAGGGGCTAATACAGTCATACAGGCTGACGAGATCTGACAGCTAACTAGGTGCCCTTTAATCAGACAGACAGGCTGGATAGACTCATAGGGGGTAGGGAGTGAGGGGTGCGGCACCTCAGTCATATTTGTGATACTTAGTGTAGAATGTATGTCTATTTGTGAGCTGGGGTGGGGCACAGTCAGGTCATGTATTGGCACATGTTGCACAGATAGTCTGGACTACCCTGTGCTCAATAGGTTACATGATGAACAGACAATGAAATTATAACATACAGACAGTGGACAGACAATACAGTGATGATATACAGACAGTGGACAGACAATACAGTGATAACATACAGACAGTGGACAGACAATACAGTGATAACATACAGACAGTGGACAGACAATACAGTGATGATATACAGACAGTGGACAGACAATACAGTGATGATATACAGACAGTGGACAGACAATACAGTGATGATATACAGACAGTGGACAGACAATACAGTGATGATATACAGACAATGGACAGACAATACAGTGATAACATACAGATAGTGGACAGACAATACAGTGATAATATACAGACAGTGGACAGACAATACAGTGATAATATACAGACTGTGGACAGACAATACAGTGATAACATACAGATAGTGGACAGACAATACAGTGATAATATACAGACAGTGGACAGACAATACAGTGATAACATACAGACAGTGGACAGACAATACAGTGATGATATACAGACAGTGGACAGACAATACAGTGATAACATACAGACAGTGGACAGACAATACAGCGATAATATACAGACAGTGGACAGACAATACAGTGATGATATACAGACAGTGGACAGACAATACAGTGATGATATACAGACAGTGGACAGACAATACAGTGATGATATACAGACAGTGGACAGACAATGAAGTTATAATATACAGACAGTGGACAGACAATACAGTGATAACATACAGACAGTGGACAGACAATACAGTGATAACATACAGACAGTGGACAGACAATACAGTGATAACATACAGACAGTGGACAGACAATACAGTGATGATATACAGGCAGTGGACAGACAATACAGTGATAATATACAGACAGTGGACAGACAATACAGTGATGATATACAGACAGTGGACAGACAATACAGTGATGATATACAGGCAGTGGACAGACAATACAGTGATAATATACAGACAGTGGACAGACAATACAGTGATGATATACAGACAGTGGACAGACAATACAGTGATGATATACAGACAATACAGTGATAACATACAGATAGTGGACAGGCAATACAGTGATAATATACAGACAGTGGACAGACAATACAGTGATAATATACAGACAGTGGACAGACAATACAGTGATGATATACAGACAGTGGACAGACAATGCAGTGATGATATACAGACAGTGGACAGACAATACAGTGATAACATACAGACAGTGGACAGACAATACAGTGATGATATACAGACAGTGGACAGACAATACAGTGATAATATACAGACAGTGGACAGACAATACAGTGATGATATACAGACAGTGGACAGACAATGCAGTGATGAT